TGCAAATCGACCACCTGAATTGGTAGTTCAAATGGAAGACCATCTGGTATCTATATATCGATTTCTTGGTTTCAGATCGTTGTATTGCACAACAACAAGTGTGGGCTAAACGCATGCTTGATGTGACAAAATATCCACGACTCTGCACCCAGCAAGTTTATATGTCAGTTAATAGACAGATTTCGGATGTCATTCCGTGTACTTCCCATGCACCAAAAATCGCAATGCATGGGAAATGTACGGAACGTAGTTTTGTGATTTCGAGAAAGCCATCCATCCAATTTTACCGTATCCGGTTGTATGAGTGCGAAGTGACCACAGCAAATTGCAATCGTCATGCTCTCCATCGAGGAGCTCGCATCTCTTCTTCGGCGTCGTCACAAGCTGCCCTACAAACGGCGCGTTCGTCTCTTGCGTTTGCTCGAGTGTGCTGTTGAGCGCCCACTGGTCCCAGAGTCACGCTTAGACCTAGCAGCTCTCTCCGATGCGGACTGCATGTTAAAGTTCCGGTTTGATCTGTCTGGCCTCGTTCCGTTGGCTTCGCTAACAGGATGATGTCGTCTTCTTCGGCCCACCATTTCTTTTCAGGGGTGTCGTGTGGACGTCGTCGGTCGATTCCGGCATGATTGGAGTGCCGCAAGAGTGGTGTGTGCAAGAATGACAAGGAAATATCCGGACACGGGAGCTCTACGGCTTGCCGCCAAATCAGCCATTTTGGCGGCATCCCGCATCGAGTTTAAAAGTTGCCTTCAATGAAATAAATATTTGGAGGTTTGAGATACGCGAAGTGTACGGAATTGAGCTCCGAAATCTGTCTAATGAAGCATTCCCATCGCAATTTGTCAGCAAGAAATTTGCCGAAAGCGCCAGAATTATCATTGGCGAACGGGTTGGTGATTATGCGCGGCGAGTCCTGTGTTTTCGAGGACAAAAGAATACGCCAAATTAGAATTGTGCGCACTCTTTACTTGTGTCCATCTGCGTATACCTTTCTATGCTAGCTTATAAGAGAAGACAGCGTTGCCTTGACACTCGGTCTGGATCGGCTGGGTGACAGCGGATTATTGTATTGTTCAACATATATTTGTTCAATGCTTCTCGAACACTAATCAACGTATGACGCCACCAAACGACTAAAATTTACAGGCTATCGGGGAGTACCACATTCGGAGTCATTGTTGTGCACTGAAACTCTCGCAATCAAATTCAAGGGCGGTTCCAAACGCAACTCCTTCATCAAACACAAGACAACACCAGACATGAACTCAGCTCCACATGAGTGGCTGACGAAGCTTCGGTGGACCTCACATTTCGCGAAACTTGAAGTTAGTGACCTTCTTAATGCTTCAAAGGAGGGCATGTTGGTCAGCCAATCCTTTGACAGAATTTTCATTGTGTTGCGGTCAACATGATAAGCATTGGTTTCTATCCAAATCAGTAAGATGTCTTTCACTCTTTGTAGTAGGTTTGTAAAAGGTAAAAGCTTGGGAACGTATCACAATCACTTCAGTCTGGGTGAGCTTGGTAGACAAAATGCAAGCCAACACTGCGATTTGTTCATCTGAGTTCACAATTTTGCACAGAAGCAGTCAGACCTCTACGGGTTTGTATTTTCGTGCGTCGTATTGAAACATTTGTGTGCACGCACAAAGATGAGTGAAATTCATACAACGAAGTCCAAGTCCAATTTACAGTGAGTACAGTTGACACCAAGATTCATTCTTGCGCCACCTCCATATGAATCAACACACTATTGCGTGACGTGCTTGTAGCATATGCTCATTCAAGCTGTCGCCATTACAGCGAACCTCCTTTAACATATCTTTTGTATAGATTCACGTCCATTTGAGTTGTCCACGAATGCTCAGTATGGCAATTGGACGTCGAAATGATTGATCTACGCGAAATGCATTGAGAATGTTGAATGCTGCACTAGAAGTGAAGTGCTGTATATGATGATCCAAAATTCTTCGACGCTGAACGTGTATTCACGCATGGCATGTTTTTTCCTTTGGATCGGTTGACATCAACACCTCATTCGTCTTGGCAAACGCCAAGCAATTTTCAGCTATATTGAGCACGATTGTCGGCTATAACTGCAGTCGCATCATCGTCAAGACAATCAAGACCATCACGAGGTTGAATTGTACCAATTGTGAATTGACCTACTAATTTTGACGTGATGGAAACGTCTTGAAATATCGTGTGCTCAATGTTATCCTCAACTGGCGAAGTCTCGATAAACGCCTGGAATTGCGCACCTTCAAGGGATAACTTTCAAACGCTTGTATTACGTGCTAAGATCATTCTACCCACTGCACTCCTACTTCCGTCAGAGCCCGCTTCTTGACTTCTGGCAGATCTTGAATCCTGGCCTTGGTTTTTGCCAGCCACTGACCGAGTGCGAACGACCATAACTCTCTTGGGTATGTCTCGTCCTTATTTTGAACTATAAATGACTCCGGAATGTCGAGGTCGCCGTGGCACACTTTATAGATTCGCAGCCCCCACAGGTTCATATCCCACTTGTGCTGCTTTAGGTCCCACACGAAATTGATTGCGTTGAGTTTCTTTTCGATCTTTGGATGGATCTTGTCCTTTGTTTTCGCTGCGCGAAAGCCGTTTACATTGACTGTCTTGCCGCGGACGTGGGCTGGCCACGGGTCTCGTGCGGGCACCACGAAAGTTGGTGGCATCGTGGTGTACTTGGAGTACTGGGACTGTTCGCTGCGGACGAGGCGAGCTAGCGTCAATAACAACAGTTGGTTATTATACGAAGCATACGACCCCAGGTGCATGGGCGCCGTCCCTGCTCTGGCCTTTTGGGGCAGCGACCTGCGCTCCTCTCTCTCTACATTAGGCGCAGCAGCGGCCTTTGCAGGCGTTGCTGCCTTGGTCTTACGCTCCAGCAATCCCTCCACCTTCACGATGGCGAGCTCAAACATGCGGTCCACGTCACTTGGTGACATGAGTTTCCCCGCCATGCTGTGCTCCCTCTCCAACGCGGTGAATTGCTGAATGAGCGAGCGGTCCTCTTGCGTGATTTATAAATCGGTCATACAAACGGGATGTATTCCCCACGCAATAATAAAATCCACGCCACCGTTGGAAGATGGCTCCTGACCAACCAATCGGTTGGCCACGGCGCCTACCTCAACGGAACTTGACGTCCACCCGTTTGCCCTGGTCGACGCGGTGGTGTCGTCGGGCTCCTACCCTGAACAGCAAAAGAGCACCTCGATCGTCGACAGACATCGGACTCCACGTCGTCAACCTAAGTCGCTTCAGTGTGTAGCCCAGTTCATGCGAATAACTCACTAAGCGTGGTGCCTCTTCCTTGCTTGGAAACAGATAGACCTTCTCACATCATCCTGTTTTGCTCAAATGAACAAGCTAGCCCATCTATGGATCAGTGGCATTGTCGGCTGTGCCATACACTAGCCGCGCGACCTGTCGACACGGAAAATATATATGTTGAAGTCACGAGCCATCTCCAAACTGACTTGCGATCCCGCGACGAAACACCTCCCATCAACGCACCTGCGCCCACTAGCGTGGAATAGTTTATTCAAAGTGATGGAACTACTGTGTGCGTGCATCGACGCTCTCGGTAGAATTTCGTTGCTGGAGTAGAGTTTCCAGTCGCCTCAGTCGTCATGCGCCTCGGCAGCGCATGGCAGTCGCCCAGCTTGTGCGTTGCCCAAGCTATCACATTCGCCTTTGTGAATCGCGATCTTGCCTACCCGTAGGGGGGCTTGGAGGATGGCTCTCAACTTCATTTCCCTTGCAATGTTGCAATTGTTGTGGCGAGCCCTAGCACTGGGGCAAGCAAGGCACCCTTACGTAACGCACCAACGTTACCACACTACGTACAGCACGCCGGAATGAAGCGAGTTTCCGAAGGTTGTGGAGTGACGTACGGTAGCTTACAGTGTTGGGGGTGTAGAGCAGAGGTTGTTACGCAGAACACTACTCAAGACAACGTCGATCTGTGCATGGGAACATCACTTGAAGTGGAGTCCTCGGGGCTGCCTGGAGCGAGCATGGACGTGCTGTGTGTGCGTCGCACTGGATCTGGAGCAGGCACTGCGTCAAACAAACCTGGCGCCCCCCCGGCGGGTTTCGCGTAACAGTTTTTAGTACATACTAGTAGCACATTGCGTATTGAAATCCGTTTCACTCGACTGAACCACGTTTTATAGATTAAAATGGTCAAATACGTTACGTATATTCAGCGAGGGGAACACCCCTCAGTGGTTTAATAATTTAAACGTTCTACTTGCCATTTAAAACGTCGTACTTTTTCAACCGGGCGACAATGGAAAGGTGGGAGGTTCATTCCATCGCTTCCAGCGCCGACATGTGAGGAATGTCAAGAGCAGCACAGGCATAGTTTCGCCAACCGCGGAGCTCGCAACGTTGCCACATACGTGCCAAGCTACGATCTGTCAACGAGGTGTTCCCAACGACGTTTGGACACTGCTAGTAAGACCAGTTTTCCTAGTATTACTATGATGTTACTATGTATAAACCAGTTGAAATTGTGAATCGGCGATCGTCATGACCACGATGAAGAGAGCGCCGCGTGCGCAGTACGGTGTAGTGTTTCCCCGAGGCACTCCGTCCTCCAAGATTGACCGGATTGAAGCCAAACTGAAGTCGTCCAAGCTGGTGGTAGTGTGCGAAAGTGTGTCCAAGGGCAAGGCATTTCTCGATGAGTACAACGGCAGGGTCTTGACCGTGGCTGCTTCGCGTGAACTATTGGAAGTTGAGGCCGAATCTCAGAGCTTGCTCAAGTGTGTCTTGGAACCTGATCGAAAAACCAAGTCCCTGAACGCTTACGACGTAATTGGGACGCAATTTCAACGGAAGGAGCCATTCGAAGTGGTCGGGGCAGCGGAGAAATTTCTGCATTACCACGACCACGATGGCCAGGAGCCCTTCTTCTCGTCGAGCGAAGAACTGCACTTATTGCATACCTACATCGAGCGAGTACTTCGGGAGGACCATGTCGACTCGGACGAACCGCCCCTCGAGCAACACCATGCTGCATTCAAGCTGATTCCACTACACGACATGTTTGCAAAGTTTCAGCTGTGGAATACCTTTAAGTGGTCCATTTTCCCCACGAACTTGCACTTGGCGAATGCCATGGAAGCGTATTTCGGCGCAAAAGTGGCCCTGTACTTTTCCTGGTTGCACTTCTTCACAGTATTCCTCACTGGTCCTGCCGTCGTGGGCGGGCTGTTGGCTCTGTACGAGTACGTGTACGTCGAAGAGGCGTCCGGGGACTCGACGATCGCGCCGTTCTTCACGCTGCTGATGGTAGTGTGGAGTGCGTGCTTTGTGCAGTTTTGGGCTCGTCGGTCGTCCACGCTCGTGTGTGGGTGGGGCGTCATTGAGTCGACGTCCTATTCTCGCCGATCCGAGTACCAAGGGCTTGTGCATGTCAATGTTTTTTCTGGCGCTCGCGGCCTCACGTATCCGTACTACCGCCGTCTATACAAGTACTTGATCTCGGCGACGATGACGGGAGGCATGTTGGTGCTGGCGTTTTGCCTCATGGTGGTGTCCCTCAACTTTCAAGGGTACATCCACGACGATTCATACTTTGGTTCGTACCTCCATCTACCATTTGTGCACCAATTCTCGTTGCCTGGCGCGGTCTTTGACCAACAAGGCGGTGGTCCATACCCCTGGCTGCTTCCGTTCGTCCCGACCGTAACCCACGCGTCTTGCATTCTGTTTCTTAATTTGCGGTACCGTGCTGTGGCGGTCCAGTTGACGGATTGGGAAAATCACAAAACGGTCGAAGCGTACGAAGACGCGCTTGTGTTGAAGCGGTTCCTCTTTGAAGCGTTCGACTGCTACATTGCGCTGTTTTACTTGGCATTTTGCCAGCTCGACGTGGTCTTGCTCCAGAAAGAACTCGTGTCGCTGTACACGCTCGACACGATTCGGCGAGTCGGCATCGAGACCATTCTCCCCTTGGCGCTGCGTTGGTGCAAGTCGAATGTAATCGGTGCGGCGCCGGTGGACGCCACCATGGACGAGACAGTGACGGCGTCGACTGTCCAAGTCGTCGATGAAGCAACCGACTTCGAAGAGTACGAGCCGTTCGACGACTACATGGAAAAAGTGATCGAATTCGGGTACATCGTCCTGTTTTCGTCGTGTTTTCCGCTGGCGTCGCTGCTCAGTGTTGCGTCCAACCTGGTCGAACTGAAGGCGGACCAGTTCAAGTTGCTCTTTGTGCATCAGCGCCCGCGAGTCCACCGCGTGGGATCGATTGGGATTTGGCAGACCATCCTGACGGGGCTCGTCTGGCTGTCGGTTATCACGAACGTGTTTTTGTTTGGCTTTACCACGGAGCAAATGATGATTTGGTTCCCGTCGTACTTTGACACCAAGCACGTGGACGACGCGATATTTGGTGGCGTCGACCACATCCACGTCGCCGCGAAAGGCCGCGAGAGTGCCGTGCTCGGACTAGTCTTCTTGCTCGAGCACGTGGCCTTTTTCCTCGTCCAAACCATCCTGGCGTTCATCCCGACAACTCCCGACAGCGTTGTGGAAGAGAACGAGCGCCGACAGTTTGTCCTACTGAGCAAAAAAAACAAGCACGTGATTGCATCTCCAACGTCGACAGCTCTCAAGATGGAGAAATAATCAATGCAATTAACTCATCAAGGGTGCTTCATTGGGGCTCGACGGATTGCCATGAACTCGTCTCAGCATCTGGGATGCTGCGGGACGAAGGCATGATCTTGCCCCTCAACAAAAGCGCTCTTCCTCGAATTGCGGCATCATCTACGAGTGGAAGAGTTACAGTAATCCCCCGAATACGACGTGTAGTAGTACTATATAGTACTACTAATTACGTGTGGGATATTATCCGGATGTCCATCCTCGATCTTTGGTTGGCAGTCACACAGCACCATCATGGAGCGCATTAGTCCGTCGGAGAAGCTGTACATCACACATGGTATTGCACAAGACGTCCGTGCCGATGGCCGAAGTCGACTGAGCCGACGTGTGCTTCGCATGGAAAGCGGCCTCCTCAGTCAAAGCCACGGGTCCAGTCGAGTGTCGATGAAGTCCGGCAGTACGGATGTCCTTGCAAGTGTCAAAGTGGAGGTCGCCCATGGAAACCACGAGAACGGGTGGGTCGAACTGTCTGTTCAGTGTGCACCGTCGGTCTCTGAAAAGATGGACGGGCGAGCTCAAGAAGAAATGAACGTCGAACTGACCGAGCGCATGAAGCGCCTCGTCGTCGTACCGCTGTCCACGGATGATCTCGTCATCGTTCCCAGCAAAAGCGTGTGGGTAGTCTACGTCGATGTCATGGTGTTCGATACATCCGGCAACCTTCCCGACGTCGTGTCCATGGCCATCTACGCGGCGCTGCGGGATACATTGCTTCCATCCATCAAACTGAGCGGCGATAAGGACGACCAGGAGCAGATCATTCAGGTTGAGAGTGACCCTGCTTCCGGACGTCGCTTGTCGCTGGACGATTGGCCTGTGTGCCTCACATTGAGCAAGGTGGACAAGTGGTTCGTCATGGACGCGACCCTTGAAGAAGAAATGTGCATGACGGCCCAGATCAGCGTGTCTATCGACCGCCGAGGCCATGTATGCGGCATGCAGAAGAACGGGGTGGGGGCACTGGACCTTAAGGAGATGCAAGCTATGGTGGATGTCGCGAGCAAGGTGTCGCCCGAGGTCTTCCAAGCGATGTCTAACGTCTTTTCAGACCAAGATGCCCAGGACTTGTCAAGAGGCCACGTGGCCGAACGCAGTGGGTTCCTCGCTTAAAAAGAGACTCGCAATCGACGACAGTGCCTTCTACATTTTTTTCAGCTCTTCTTCAGCCAACTCCTTGACATCCTTCGCCGACTTCGACTAATCATACAAACGCTTGAGCACATCATGATCGCACAATGGATCAGCCTGCCTTGTCCGTAAACGACCCGAGTCGAGCACCCTTTTGCTTGTCTGGCCGGCTGAGCAAGTTGTTGAAAAAGTTGGCCAGGTGCTTTGGGTTCACATCCTACGGCACACGTCTACGTCAGCGGCAACAGCAGTCGATCGAAGTTAGCTCCCACCTTGGTAGCGGCAGTTTTCACATCGACCTTTTCCTGCACAATTATATTCATGACGAATCCGTGACTTGCAATTCTGTGTACCCCCTTCCTCATGTCCGCGTCTGCGCGCCGCGCCGCCGCCAATTCCTCGGCCCGACGACTTGCTTCGACGCTGCTCTTTTGTAAATCCACCAAGCCTACTTTCACGCATTAGACTTCATAAACATGGTGTGTGCGCCGGTGAGACCTGCGCCGGCAGCCTTTTCCAACTTGCGCAGCCAAACTTGGTTGGGGTCGACGCGAATCTCAGGGTGGAGAAGCGCCTATACTTCGTCGTTGACCTCCACACCTTCGTGACCCTTCAATGCATGTACCCACCGAGTCCTCGCGTTTTTCGACTGGAGCCGGGATAAATTTCTCAAACGTGGTCGACTTCTGCCATCGCGGCTACACTTGATCACATTCCCATGAGGTCGTGTACCGAAACTGGATGAGTGTAGTAGACCTGGGAGCCCACGAGACTCTGCTCAATCAAGGCGGCTGTGTCGTAGCCCGACGGCACGAAGATAGCGCCGCGATCGACCAGCTAGAGTCCTCTGTTGGATATACAGATGCGACAAAGAACTTGGCACCTTTGGAACTTGGGTGAATTTGAACACATCGGGGTGCGAACGATGGAGAACGTAATCCTTCAACACGTCCAAGTTGGTGCCGGTCTTGCTCGATGTATAGCACACGGCCGCTCCGTCTACAGCACAGCATGCAATACTCATGTCTGGTTGTATGTTCAAAGCAAAGTGTTCGTACATGCCAAAGCGAGTTGGCGGATGGTGTGCTGGACAAAGTCAGCCTTCACCGTGTCCTCCGGGGCAGTCTGCATTTCCATGAGGAATCACCTTCTGGTAAATGAAAACGACGTACATCCGATTTACACATGACAATCACGATGGGAATCCCTGCATTGTGCACCAGCACGCCTTCCGGGAGCGATTTCTACACTCGTGGCGGACAATGTCATCTTTGTCAGAATGCCCACATCATACCAACAATTCGTCGTCCTTGACAAGGCTCGCAGTCGAAGTTTGCCCCTAAAATGCCACAGTATGAGCTACATCAAACGTACGAGACGATGGGTACCGGTTCAACGTAGCTGAGCCAATGTTTTCGGTTCGAGTCGAGCAAGTCCGACCGCTGGTTTTCGGGGAGATTCGAGAGCTTGCCTTCAACGACCGAATGCAGTGTGGATAAGCACTGCAGACACAAGTCAGGATAGTTGTGTCGAGCATGCTGCCAAGTGGTAAATGGTTGCAAACCTTGTCCAAGGTTGGCTTGATGGTCCACGGTTTGCTCCCGTCAACAGCGACGAGCGCCACGGTGTTCGCCAATTTCTCTGCATCGATCGCAAGCGACAGAAACGACAAATCCGACGAGATTTTTTCCGTGTTGAGCGACCACACGTTGATTTGGCACGACGGATCTTCCTCCGACGGGACGTGGAAGCTTGTAAAGTCAGCGGGCAGCACCTCTAGTGTTTGCACCCGCTCGCTCGGGTTCTTGATACCCTGCCACCGCTGAATCAACGACGACTTCCCGACTTCCGTTCCACCCAGCAAGAGCACTTGTGTTGACGGGATCGGCGCACGAACTGAGCTGTCACGGAGCAAACTTTGCCACAAGTTGGAACTCGCCATGATGGCCAGGTTGCGTCTTTGGGAGACAGCCTGAAGATAATGTCCTGTGTAATTTGATACTGTACTAGAATATACAGGCAGAAAGGAAGGCTTCGTAAACCAATATTTCATTGTATTAAATGATGGAAGCACCCTCAGATCAAACTTGGCACAGAGCACAGCACTATACAAGCATTCAACAGCTCATGCTAAGAGTCGCGGTGTGAGTATATTCCACGTTAAGCATACTTTTCGATACGATAGCTTTCCATTGAGCGTTCTTCATGGCCCTGAAAACTCATCTTGTTCAGAACTCGACTTCAATTAAGTCGCACGGGTTGCGTACTACTGCATGCACGAATGCCTCCAAGTCACTCGTACACTTGCGATACGCTCGCAAAACGACGGCGTGACTTCCGTCCGGCTGCGCTGCTTTCGGGGATTCTGGCAGAGGTGTCCCCGCTATGCTGATCTTGCGGCCACGGGGTGAAGTCGGCACCCGCACGGAGTATCGAGTCGGGATTGATGACAAACGCTGGATCGTAGAAAAATCATTGCGCTGAATCGCCAGTGCTAAGTGCAGGTGTCGCACCCATTCGTTCATTTCCATTTCACTCGGGGCGGAAAACAGCATGCGGCGTTTGGGGGTTTGAACGGCAAACCTCCACAGCGTGCCGTACGTCCCTGTGAACGTGGCATCACGGGGAAGAGCTTGGATGGACGATGGCGAGCAGTCGCGCAAGTCGAGTTCGCCTTTGCGCACGTCCAGTTCATAGTAACGCAGCACGGAGCTCGTGAGCACTACATGACGAACCTTCCATGTCTTGCGGTGGAACCACCCTCCCTGACCTCGCTTGAACAACATGCCTTTCATGAGGACTTCCGTCGCATTGAAGGCGTTGCTGAGCGTGTCGCTAGAGCTGAAGCTGCTGTGGCGTGGGCACCTGCCCAGGGACGGCGAGGGGGGTGGCTGTACTGTGGGAGCCATTGCGACCGATTCGAAATGGCCGAAGGACGCAGCGCCGCTTGCGTCCAAGCCCGCCGCTGCGCGAGATGCAAATTTCGACCGTTCTACCTTGTGATTGGTCGAAAGTGAAACGCCTGCTGCTTCAACGTCCCAACCACCTCGCGAAAATCCATGTTCTCATGGCTCAATGCCTTGCTCCTCGTGCATCCGTCGATTTAGGACAATGGCCTGCGCCAGACACAGCACTTTGTCTTTGCGACGCAGGCTACGCACCCGCATTGCAAACCGCTTGAAGACACTGTCGGGGTGGGCCTGTCGTCGCTGCAGGAGCCACCGCATCACGTCTGCTTCAGGGATTCGACCGTCCCGTTGTGGAAGCAAGTTGCCAATGGCGCCTTCGTCACAAGGGCAATGAGCAAAATATAAGAGCCCACCAATGGCGCTGCAATGGATGGCACGTGTGGAACCAACCATGTCAAACGCAAAGGCGATACGCGTGGTTGGATCGGACGGCAGCCACCGCAGCCTTGGCGAGTTGCGCCAGAGGTGGGCGATTCGCTTCGCTTCCTGCTGGACCTCCTTCATCCCAACATCGCTTGAGCAATAGTCTTCCGACTTGAGTAGCGTCGAGTGCTCTTGGCGGCTTCTGTCGTATCGAACAGCAACGACCGCCCGACCGAGTGCTGATATATTCAGTGTTGTCTTCATGTGGAGAGCAAGTCTTGCTTCGGAGGACGACTCGAACACGTGGACGGTGGGGTACCATGCCGCAAAGCAATCCCGCGTGACAATGCCCGACTTGCCCGGGTCCAAGGACGACCAAAAACGCCGCTCTGAAACGATCCATCCAACTGCTGCCAGCGCATGCAGCAACTCGCTTCGTCGTAAAATGCGATCGGTGCCTGCATCTTGCGTTTCCAACGCGGCAAAGATGAAGTCGGCACGCCTTTCGATCGGTTGCTTCCTTGCACTATTCTGTTGCCTCAATGCCTTAGTTACTGCCGCCAGGGCGGCTTTTCCGTCGGCTGTAGAACAGTACGCGTTGAATTGCCGCACCCAGTCGTGGGTGTCATGAAGAGCCAAAAGGTCATGATCTTCGTCCATGAATTCCAATCCTCCACTGGCCAAGTGATGGCGGTAGTTGGCCATCTCAACGAGACGCCCAGCTTGCTTCCACGTCCACACACCTCGTCGTCGGCACGAACGCATCGCATGCTGTTGCAGCCACTCGACCAAACTCGACTCGCGTATGCGGCCCGAATGCGTCGGGTCCAAAGCTTGGATCGCAAGCGGCACAAGTTTGGCTGGACGGTGCAGTAGACGAAATATTGTCGCCATGGACGCCACTGGAACCCCCCTCTCGTGCACTTCCATAGCGTCGCTGGCGTGACTAAAACATCGCACGACACCAGTTAGGAACGCGGGGCTTGGATGGAGCGATCCGTCGTTGTGAGTTTGTATTCTAAGTCCGCGCAGTTGAAGGGCAGTTGTGTTTGTGTCGGCTCGCCCCCGTGCCATTTGAACGAACCGTTGGACCGCTGCGTCCACTTCGACTTCCTTGGCTTCTTGGATCGCGGCTTCGAGGACACTCTTCACCGCGTCGGTGAGTCCAACGCGATGACGGAAATGTGCTGACATCTCCATTTGTCTGGCGTGAATCGCAGCGGCATCTACAACACCATCGTCAGACGCGGACAAGCGCAGTGGTGTTGACGTCACGCACTTGCTACATGGTTGTCGAACGTTTCTTGGCGGCAAAATGCTGTGCACGTCAGTCACATCGCAACGGTAAGCGACTTCGACGGCATGAGCGATGAGGGGATGTACCTGCTTGGCATTCCAAACACTGATAGAGCGGAGGGAACCTATCTCGAAACGCCAGCCTCGCCTGGACTTGACCAAGCCACTTCTCGCGAGCAATCATGTAGCGCAGCGCTTCTGCGCGTCGTTGCTTTGCTTTTCCATGCACCACCCGAGTCCAAAGCCGTTTGATTCGTGTGGCCAGGGGACGCCGTTGAGGAGCTAGGATGTGGGTGGTTGCCCACGCTGCAAATTCTTTGAACGACAATTTCCCCGACCCACTCACGTCGAGCGCATCAAACGTTGCACCAGTGGCGACTTCGCCCAAGTCCCGCGCAATATCGGCAAATTCCCGGCGATCGAGAAACCCGGATGCGTCCAAGTCATACGAGAAAAAGAGATGCCGCAGTCGCATGGTCTCGCGCGATGCTTTGGACGTGTCGGTAGTCGCCGAGTTGAGTTGCTTGACGCGCTGCACTTCTTGGTGCAGAACTCGACGACCTGACTTTGTCTCAACGTACGCACACACATCGTCGGCCACCGACACGACCGCGGCGGCCACCGCCTTCTCTTCCATCGACATGCGGAGTGCCTCCTCGTCCTCCGGACTGCCGCCCTTTACGACATGCTGCGAAAAGTTCTTGTCGCACGCGCGTTGATGCGCCCAGTACGGCTTGTACAAGGCAAACGCCATGCCACAATACACACACGCAAACCTCGGTGGTTCCGTCCGTCGGAATGCAACTTGCATGGCGCTGGTTTGACGAAGCGATTCGTCGTGATACAGCAAGCGTGCGGCGTGTTGCGAGAATGACGCGTCCGTCCACCGGTTGAGTAAGTGCTTCATGCTCAACTTCATCTTCAAGAAGACGAGCTCGGGACGGTCAAGTCGACGCCGTCGGCCGTTGTGACGCTGCGTGGGTGCCGTGTCGAGCCAGTTGTAAAACTCATCGAACTACCTCAGCCGTCAAACGCGCGGACAGTGTTTGGACCGAGCACGTACATCCACGACACCGTTGTGATCTGCGTCGATGGCGGCCAGAGCATCTTGCAGCCCTCGGCGATCAATTGCAATGCCCAACTCGTCAAATAAACTCTTGAGCTCTCTCGAGTCCATTGAGCCAGACCCGTCCACGTCGTACGCGTCAAACACATCTCGAACTTGGGCGCGACGACGCTCCACCGGTGGCAAGTGCTTTCTCGCGGCGGTTCGCTCGATCGCCGTTGCTTTGAGTTGGAGAGTAAGCCGCTTGCGTCGCGTCCCGAGCTATTCGACAACAATGAATCCCAGTCCACGCAATGCGACCGACCAACGAAGTTGTCGACGCCGAATTCAACTGGCATTCGAATGTCGCCATCTTGACGGCAACATTCGATGAAACGAACGCCCGCTCACGTGTGGAACGAGCCGCTTCGTCACGCTCGAGTCGGCATTTGAGCTGCCGGACGCGGTATCGAGCCAAGTACCCTCGAAGCCATCGGTCTTTCGTCAAGGCGTAGAATTGTTCGAGGCCGAGGCGTCGCCGCCGCTTCTGGAGGGAATGGAATTCCAATACCCACGCTCGGACAAGCTGTCTCAAATTGCGCACCAATTTTTTCTGCTGGCGCCGCACGTGGACCTTTTTACACGCCAATTTCTTGCGCATTGCTGTCTGTTTGGGCGCGTGAAGTGGCTGAAATTCCATCGAGAGTGTACCTGAATCCGCACACGCATAGCTTCTTTGTGTCTGTTGCAAGCGCGCCACCATCGCTGGATGCACGCGGCGCTCACGTGAGCGAGCCACCTCTTCTTGGCCAGCATCCGCCTTGTGTGAAAGCCTCGGTAGTATCGCTGGACAGTCGTCGATGCAGCGATCAAGTTTGAGAACCGGTGTCGATATGCTTTCTATTTTCATGGTGCTGGATAACAAGTCGTGCTAGGGGGGGGGGCGAAGGAAACCTGAATCGTGGTCGCATGGCCGTGTACCGCCATCGAGTAGTTGAACCCCCACGAAGACTTCTCCTTGACACCGCCAACGTCATCCTGGAGCAACTTGTGTACACCCGCTTCGATCACGGCCACAGCGGCATGCGGCCGACCTTTGGCCAATTCCGTCTGGGCAGCGTCGCGAACTGTTGCTGCAGTTTGCTCAATCCAAGTCGCTTCGAGCTCGACAGGGTCTGGCAAGACCGCAGCGCCTGTGTTAAACGGAGCAGCGTTGCCCTCGGACCCGTCGCCAAAGACGATATCTGCGGACATTTCAGCCGCCAGAAGCGACGCCGTCTGGTCCGTCCACATGTCTTTGCCTTGGTGCGCGTAAATTGCCTTTTGTATGCGGTGCTGCATTTCGATCGAGTACTTTGCCGCGCCTTGGCCTACAAGCTCCATCACGCTTCCCCATCGCATGCATCGGGATTCTTACGAAGGGTGTTACTGGCCGTGGGAAGGCTGTAGAAAGAATTAGCTTCCTGTGTGACGATGCTATGGTATTCGTACACACCTGCTCGGACCGTCGTTGGGGTCGAGGACAAGGTCTTTCGTAAGCGCGACCGGATCCAACTGGTCTGTTATCCACGGGTCTTGAGAGATTTCTTGCATTAGGTGGTCGTCCAGTTCACCGGCAACCGATTCGCATTTCGTTGGCGTTGAAGACGCGCCACATGCGACGAACGTTGAGGTCTTGGATTCATGGGGACGTCCGGCATTGAGAGCGACGACGGACGGTAGTTTGGACGTTGTCGACGAGATGGTCGTGGTGTTGACAATGTTGTCCAGGGAGGTGGATTCTGGTACGGCGACAGGAGGCATGGCCATGCATGCTGACGCTTCTTCCTGCCACGATTTGAAGTCGATGGCGCCATCAAGCAAAGGGAACGTCGACGGCAACAACTCGATGGGATTCGTAGCGCGATGTCGACGTTTCCCGGGCGATGCCATCGCATCATTGTTGCTTTGGACATGAAATTCCATGGCGTCAGCAACGCGCCGCACCTTTCGCTCGGCGATTTGTGCAGACGTGAGAACGAGTTTGGCCCGGTGGGCTTCAGCAAACAGCTGAGTGTACGGAGATGTCTCTGTGCAATCGAACAGCTTAATACTCTGAACGACCTCCATGCCATCCAAACATACCTTTGAGCGTGCCGACCTTGGCGTTGAGTGAAAGGGTCTTGGGAGATGGCCCGTGCTGCGGCGCATCGCCGACGAGCCATCGAAACTCGGCCAGCAAGTCAATACTGGCGGGCTCGGGCCACTCGATCTTCTCAAGCGTGCGCATGGGCGGTAGTGCCCGCGGCAGTTACGTGAGCGTTTCACGCTTGCAAGTAGGCATAGCCCCGTAACCATGCCAGCGCTTGGCGCTGCCCGCGGGGGTTTGAATGGAGGAGCACTTTACTCATCGTCGCATGGTACCAGCAGCGCAAGAGTATTACCACGGCAGGCGACGCGGGATCCAAAAGAACTCGAGGGATTCCGTTGATATATTTCAATTTTACGCTGTTTGCCAAGGGTTGGTTGTAAGGGCAATGGTTGCGTCACAGTTGATGGGAATGGCCGCAGTTCGCGCACATGGTCGAGTACGACCTTGCCCGGAACTTTTCACAGGGGCAGCCTGACGTGACGCACGACGCCACACGCGGCTTGGCCTCTTCAGCACGGTATTCTTCGCACAAGAGCATGGCATCGCCGATTGCTTCATACACACCGTGCGCCGCGCGAGGTGGCGGGACAGCGCCAGTCAAAATCTCCGAGGGGGTGACGTGGCGGCCATAGAACGCTCGATTCGCATCTTCGCGGCACCTGATGACGGCACCGTGCAATGAAATACCAGCGAAAAACCCGCGGCTGTGGCTATAGCTGTAGTTCACCCCAAGGCCGCCGTTGCCTTTGCCCATAGCTGCCTGAGCGAGAGCGGATCGGCCGTATGGACCTACCGCCAAGTCGAGTCCAGCGCCGAGCGTCAGTTGGGTCTGGAAGAAGACTGACACAGCTTGCGCTGACGAAAGAATGAGCAAAACCTGCACGACTTCGCCACCACCTTCGAGTCCCCCGCCGATGCCGGCGGTCCCGATGGCCGATGGCGCGGACCACGAGTTGTCGCCCAGGCGGGCGACTACAATGCCAGAACCCATCTTGGCCGTCACGAGCAATCCCGCTTTGACAACGGTGAGAAACGCGAGACCGTGTGCCCGTTCGAGGAACGCGACGGGAATGCGCTTTTCCGCCGGCGACGTGAGGAAGAACTGTCGGAGCATATCGCGGGCGGCTTCACATTCGTTGGCAAGTGACTGGTGGACCGGAAGGGACTTGAACCAGCCACGATCCGTTGGTAAGGCTTCAGGCGACGACTGAGGGGGACCGCCTTGGTGGCAGTTGGCGAACGTTGCTTCGAGGCGTGCCTGGAGGGGCTGCAAGATTGGCGCGCACAGTGTGCACACACGTTGTGGCACGGCGACATCGTACCCTTTGGCGCCTTCGTGCTGGAAGCCCTCGGGGATCAGCATATACGCAGGCGAACAAGATTGACACACGGCTTTGCCGCACTTGCGGCAATGGTGCCGCCTGTTGCGTAAATCGAATTTGGTTGTACACATCTCACAAATCGCGTGCTTGCCGTATATGCTCGGCCCAGATAACTTTTTGAAGACCGACTTGATGCTGCCTGTATTGCCGCTTCGTTCGGCCAACGGAGCGTCCACGTCCTCAGGCTTAGGAGTCCATGACGGGCGAGACGCCAGCGACATCTGCCGCTCCGACGTTGACCCAATGGTGGCGGGCCGAGACTTGGGGGCTTTCGATTTGGCGTTGTCGCGGTAGACTGCAAGGAGTTCTGCTCGCTTCTCATCATCTGGGATGAGTCGAACCAGTTGTGGCATCATCGTGTCCATCATGAAGTCACCAAGGTATACTCGAAGGTTCGCCTCGAATACCTCAGCGGAAATGCCCCCGGAACCATACTGCTTGCAGTCCTTCTTGAACGCTTTCACAGTATCATCTGCATGCTCGCCGAAGTGGGTGCCGCGAACGGTGGCAACCACACGTTTGTAAATGGACGTGGCTTCGTCGCCAGTCGCCATGTCTGGAACATCAACGGACCCCGATCGCTTCTTGTTCGTTCTGGGAGAGGGTGGTGCCAGATGCGTGGGCGGAGCAGTGTACGACGTCGCGGAGACTACCGTCGGTATATCAGAGGATGATGCCACGGCTGGGACGCCACATTGCGAGCAGAACCGCCGACCATGCAGCGGTGCCCCGCATTCGCGGCAGAATTTCGACATCGTTAGTAAAACTGTGGACGAGCACTGACACATCCGGATATTTACTTCCACTTGTCCGGATAGCCAAACAAATCTTCTGCTGCAGCGCATGTCATGAAGGTACGGCGCGATGGAGCTGCAGTGAAGCGCGTGTCGGTGGCATGATGTAATCTGTGGATGCAACGTAGAGCTTATTTTCTTTTGGAACACCAGCCGAATTGGTCATCTCCATCACGGGGGAAGATTCACGTCGAAAGGAAGGGGAGTTGTTGGTGTTCACGCCGACCGATGACATCAGCGGCGTTTTGCGCGTGACTGCCAAGAAGCTCGACCATGGAGGGGTCAAGGTGGAACTGATTGGTGTGATTCAAACCACAGTGGACAAGGGCTCTCAATTTGAATTCACGTCATCCGTCCGTGCTCTGTCGCAGTCGGGCACCCTCGACGGGTCCGAGGTACTTCTCCTATTCAGACATCCAACAACGTCCTCCCACACCTTTCCTCAGGAATTTCCCTTTGCCTTTGTGAACGTGGATAAGCCGCACGAATCGTACTACGGCAAGAGCGTGAAGCTGCGGTACTTCGTCCGCGCCACGGTCGTTCGTAGCTATGCCCCAAACTTGACAAAGGAACAAGATTTTCTCGTCCAGTCGACGGACGTCGCCCCCGAGCTCAACAGCACCATCAAGATGGAAGTAGGAATTGAAGACTGTCTGCACATTGAATTCGAGTACAACAAGTCCAAGTACGGGTGATTCCTTCATCGCGGTCGGTGTCAAACTATGTGAGCATAGGTACCACTTGCAGGATGTTGTGGTGGGCAAAGTATTCTTTTTGCTTGTCCGCATCAAGATCACACACATGGAGCTTGCGATTGTCCGTCGTGAGTCGTCGGGGTCGGGCCTCGATAAACTAACGGACACGGAGACCGTGACCAAGTTTGAGATTATGGACGGCGCCCCAGTCAAAGGTACCCCCGCTCCTCGCACTTCGCTCGCACTTGACCACATGTTCAACGGCGCAGGCGAGTCCATTCCCGTGCGACTCTTCCTTGGCGGCGTCGCTCTCACTCCCACGTACAAGAACGTCAACAACAAGTTCTCTGTCAAGTACTTTTTGAACCTCGTCCTCGTCGACGAGTCCGATCGACGTTATTTCAAACAGCAAGAGATCACGCTCTGGCGCAAACGAGCGTAATGGTTATGCAAAGCGCGTAAACTACATTTCTCAAGCATTAGTCGAGACTTGGCCCGTCGACATTTGTCGGCAGTTCCTGCGGCGGCACGACTCGAGGATAATCCGTCGAGACGACTTCGTGTTTGGACGAAATCGCCAGCAGCGCCGGGTGCGGCTGCCCAGCAACCAAGTATTTAAGCACCGACGCATTGCGAGAAACAAATGGCTTGGTCGCATCGGAGGCCAATCGCTGCATCCACGCCTCGGTCTTACTCCCTACGACCAGAGGACCGTCGGCGCTTGCTTGGCATCGTTCCACCAGACTCGCCAACACCCGCGAGCCAGCTTGAAACTCCGAGTATTCGACAAACCCAGGCAGGCCAGCAACAATGAGGCGAGGGGTTTCACCCACATGATTCTCGAGGGCCTGCATAGACAACGGACCCGTGTCAAAGGCATTTGCGACCCATTCCAGCACGTGTGGCGTGGCGAGTGTTGTGCCATCCACGGGGGATTTCGTCCGGCAGAGATACCGCGACAAACACCCAGGGGTCAACTCATCGACTCGGATCCAGTCGGCGGTCGACGCGTACGCCAGGTGCATGACAGCACCATCGTAGGTCTGCACGGCAACAGGATCGGAAAAAGGGACAGAGGGTTCGACCACCACCACTGCAGGAGGTGCTATGGAAACGATGAGATGTGGAAGCGGTCCGCTAGACTACCCGAGCTCACCTTTTTTCGTTTTCGATTTCTTGATAGCAACGTCGTCGTCGTCCTCTTCATCTTGTTCATCGTCGTCGTCATCGCCATTGTCGTCGTCGCCATTGTCACCGTCATCGTTGCCGGAATCGTCGGTTGACGCAGCACCGCCTGGCGAATGCGCATCGTGAGGTAAGTCATCGTCCCCACCACCATCCAACGACGCGTCGCCCACGTGCCAGTCGAACGGCACGAACATTTTGACGAGGTTCCGTGCTGCTTTGCTTCGTAATGTCTCCATCACACGATGGCTAATTGCCGGCTCCGCCTCAAACCCGGAATCGCCAGCTACAGTGACACGTGCGTCTTTGGAAAGGTGCAAGTATCGAAGCAGCGCCAGCGCAACGCCTCCGCAGAAGTACACTTCGTCGGCGACGTCCAAGAGCCCGTCGAGAAGCCACAATTTTTCTGTAAACCGCCGACCTCCAAACACAACACGGCATGGCCCGTCAGGACGGTGTCGATGGACAAAGTCTCGATGCGGCTGGAGAAAGCGCCCCACACGGCTGCATTCGTCCGCCAGTCGTGGACCAAACAGTTGGCGCTTGGGGTGGAGGGCGTTGATTGTGGGCCATTCATCTTCGGACCCATACGTATCGCTGACCACGACATCCGTCCATCCCTGTAGCGCTTCGGACACCGAGTCAGCATACGTGCCATTCCATGCGGCGTGGCGTCGCGCTTCCGCGGATTCATACGCGACGCGGGGGTTAGATCCCCCTCGAGAGGATGCAGCACGAGCTACGGGATGGATGGGCTTTGACGGCGCCTCTTCCTCTTTCTCCTTCTTCGGTGCTGACGGAGCTCCCTTCTTTTTGTCCTTCTTCCCGTCGTCCTTCACAACCTTTTCCTCGACAGGGGGCGGCATTTCATTGGAAACTGGTGGTGGTGGCGGGCAGTGTAGCAACGGCAGCGATTCGGCCAAATGAAACTCGAAGACAAGCGTCGGCTGTCCGCACGGCATGACGTCCTGTGGAACGTCAGAGAGTGTTGCGGCTGGTGCAGCGTTTGGATCTCCAACAGCTACCCGTGCTCGATTGATGGCCGCTAGCGCTTCCACGGTCGCTGCAAAGTGCACGGGGTGTCCACAAACGACCTCAAGTTTCTGGGCCACGAGGCGCATGGAAGGCATTGGCGATGCTGGAGGCACGAGAGGCGGCACCTGTTTCTTGGACTTGCCGCGTTTTGGTGTCGTCATGCTGCTTATTAAGAGGACTCGTATCGTGGTTGGTGTCGAGTAGTTTGTCGCAGTGGCGTCGAAGCGCGCGGTATACGATTCGACGAGGGCGCGGAGAATGGCAGCGACGTGCGCCAGTTTCGATGGGGTGAACGAATCAATCCCGTCCATCCATTTCCATTCACTCGGGACGGGGACGGCGGGTGCGCCGTCGACGATGGGGGTCGTGTCCAGCTGCCGCGGACACAACGTGAAGCAATGGGACACGTCCAAGTCGACATGTAGCACAAGATTCGTGCTCGTGACGGCGTGCAGCTCCAACGTCGCAGGGAAGAGCCCAACTGGGAACGTCGCCTTGTCCTGGACCCACACGTGCCTGCGTTGTAAATGCGCGATTGCGAGCGCCGTCTCCGCTTGCAGGACCGACTCGACACTGGTGTCGACTGCCTGTCGAATAAAGTCGGCCGTGCTGCTGCACAAAGCCGCGTGGACATCCGGGACATCCTCGTCGAGCTTGAAAATTCCTGCCACGACGGGAATTTCACTGCAGAGAAACGCCAACTTGTCCGTCAACTGGTTGTGCAAGAGGGCCGGCGAGTGCGGCCGAAAGAGCGACAGGTGGCGCAGCTCTTCATACGCAAGTTGAAACAGTGGCTTGAACACTGCTTTTTTCACGCGGGGCGTCGACGCCTCGACGGCTGCGTCGTCGTCGTTATTGTCGCCGTCATCGTCCTCTTCGTCTTCCTCATCATCGTCAGAGCCTTCCTTGCGAGGTGTCACTGCCTTGAAGTTGGCCTTGGCGATCTCATCGGCAGCTTTGACAACACTCGACAGCGTCGACAAGAGGCCGTCCCACGGGGGGAATCCCCCCGCATTCGGTGCTGGCGCGAGCCCTTCATCTGGACGTGGCGTCTTGAATGGGTCGGTCGGACGATTGTCACTGGACTCGTCCACTTGCACAAGCTTGGCTTGTTTGTCGGCCAAGATCAAATTCTGCGCATGCTCGTACAACCCCACCATGGCTGCATACAGCTATAAACCCACTCCATCACGATCGTCGCCATGTGCACGAAGTGCATGCATGCCATGTACCTCGGACGAGTAGTGCACACAAAGTTGACGATTCGCGACTTCGAACGTGTCGCGGTGCCGCTCGTCCACGTCGTCACGAGCAGCGACGACCGGGTACACGACGTTGTCCAGGATGTAGCGCAAGACGCTTTCAACCATGTACGCCGTGCTACGTGCTTCGAGGTCGGCAGTGATGCGCTTGCGTGCTTGGCACGGCGCTTGATGGTCCACCGCCGAGCAGGACAAACGAATGGACCGTTCGACACCGTACAACGGGTTGTAGTTGTGTTCCGCCAGGTACGGATCGATCGTGAGCTTCCACAGTTCGAGAAACCTGCCCGGCGTCGCCGACGAAAACCCAAATCGAAAACGCATTGTCTCGTACGGCGAAAGCACACCTGGGCACGTTGAGTTGGGGATGTGTCGCGGAGTTGTTCGTACCTGCGAGCTGCGACACGAACGTTCGTGGTCGACCGGCATCAATCGCAAAGTCGCGATGCGACAGGTTGTACTGACTCCACGTAAACTGCATTGCGATGGCCCCAGGGTTGCGCACGAGAATGTCTTGCGTGTGCACCGCGCCGATTTTGGCTTGGAACGACAGGTGCAACGAGACTCGTTCGTCCACGTTGCCCGTCATGACGTCGACAAATTGAAAGCATGGCCCTTCCAGTTCACGTTGCTCGGTCGGGGCATGGGAGTTTCGGCTGGACAAGTTGCCACTCGGACGCGAGTCGGCGGCGCGACGTTCGCGCTCGGTAAGCTGTTGTGCTTCTTCGACTTGCAAGAGTTGGTCGTAGTGCCGTTGGGAGCTTGTCGCCGCCCACTCAAACAAGTCGGTCGATTCGACCTTGAGGCCGTCACTAGTGAACGACAAGACAGTCCTTCGTACACCACACTCATCCAATCTCTCGACATGGACGTACCAGTGGTCCGAGTCGATCTGGTGTGGCTGAAGCTGCTGAATGTTGCGGCGCAATTGGCGTTTTCGAGCCAACAGCGCGTCGTTGAATTTGCCGTGGTGATGGTCCGTAGCATGCTTCTTGTCGGGGCTCTTCCGGCCGTGTTCTAAAGGTCTATCGCAACCCCATGGCACGGTTGGCGCTCCCGACCATCCCGTGCAACACCGTCGTACCGACGAATGATTTCCGTGAAGGGATTCTTGTCTTCCTTCACGGGGCAAAACAGGCCGCTGAAGACGTTCCCCACGGGCACGAACCGAGTCCCTTCGCCTCGGAGACTCGCTGACCAATACTCACTAATTCACACACATCACACGAACCCACTCAAGTGGCGACGACGAGAGACTCGTTCCAAGACGTACTTGCCGTGCTTTTCCTCTTGCGGCGTCGCTTTGTAAATCAGGTCGTACTCCTCCATCTGCTGCCGGTACTCGGACGCTTTGACCATGACCAAATCGGTCTCGGGCTTCTTGAGCTTCTTCGCCATCTTTGCTCGAAACATTTCCCATTCCCTGCGTTGGCGCTTGGCTGTTAAAGCGTCATGTGGTGGCACGGATGTACCGATTGCGGGTTTCCCAAACGAGGAGAACGTTCTTCTCTCGTTCCATCGAGATGCGCTCATGGATGGGCTTGGCCCGAAGCATCTTCTTGTACTCTTTCAGGGCTTGTTTTGCATTCGCTGCAGGCGAACTGACGGGCCCTGGCAAGTCAGTGGAAGTTCCCGATTGCATCGGTGCCAGCAATGTGTTGGCCGAGTCGGCCTTCAGCAACTCGGTTCGCGCCGTCGACGCTGCGCTGGTGTCGCTCGCGAGGTTTCGCGTGGATTGTCCCTTTGTCATGAAACGACTCGCCACTCGCTTGAGCGACCGCATGCTTGGGTTCTTGCCGCCGGGGGATTTCAACCCACTCGTCGATGGTGTCCCTGTTGACAGGAGGTACTCTTCGAACTGTGCGACGTCGTCCTGGGTGCCGAGGGCAGCATGAGCCATGATCTTGCCATTATTGTCTCTTCGAATCTGCTTATTCAACACCATCTTGACCTCCCCTTTGGACATGCTAGATTTCCCCAATGGTAAGAGCGAGTCATTTGCGCCACTTAAGTCCAACGTCGGCGTCGACGGCACAGACCGCGCGACGGTAAAGACCTTCTTCTTCTTAGGGGATGGCGTTCCAGGCTCCTTCTCGCTGCAGTCCCTCGTAGGGGACGTGGACGCGATCGATTTCCCGCTCTTGTTCGTTTGCATGCTCACAGCATCCGCCTTCTCGTCCAATGCGCACGCGACCTTTCGTCGGTCCACAACTGCGAGCACTACATTTATTCTTAATTGTAGGCCCTAGCTTTCTTCATGTAACGTACTACGTAGTATATTCATTCATTTGTAGCTGGGATGCCAAATATGAAAGAATTACCACCATTCCTCTCGTATCGTCTTTCAGTGGTTCATTGCACTAACAACCATCATTCATGACACTGTACATCTCCCCGTTTACAGATAAGTCCGCATTTGTCATTAACCAATTTGAAACGTCAGACCCACTTGATGGGAGTCGGTTTCGAGCTGACGCAAGTTGACGCGCCCGGAAAGCGCCACTTGCAAATACGGCGAGACTCGGCATTTGTACGCCATGCCAACGATGCCTTCGCTGTCCAGCGACCCGAACAGACTTTCGCGCTTATTGATCTCCTTGTGGCACTGCCCCTTCAACGTCACCGCTCGACGTCTTCGCAAGTACTCGACTTCACTTCCCACGTCAAAGTCATGCGCGACTTTTTGCCGCACGTGGCATCGCCAGACGTCCCCAAGGTCGAGCACACTTGCGACCGCCACCACGTCCGACGACACGTATCGAGCGAGAGCAACCGCCTTTTCTACTTTTTGCTGGACTGTTCGCGGCTCCATCGACTCGATGCCAGTATTGAATCGACCCCCCACGCCGACACAAAAGGTCTGTGTGCCGGCAACAAAACCAAAATCCACTGCTGGTCCGTTGACGACATCAACACCCATTTCGACGCTGCTTCGCAGGGATGGCAAGAACGGAACGATGCCAGTGCCTTTGAAGCCGACCTTTGCATTCGGAGCGATGCCAACAGCCTTTTGTCCACATTCCAACGCAGACAGGGTGAATGTACCCAAGGACGGCACATCCATCTCGGCACGAAGAGACACACGATGTTGGCTGTGTAGTGAAAACGAACCACGCACTGTGGACGTTGGGCTTTGCACAGCGATGCGTTGGCTTAGAGACACAGACAAGTTGGAGTTCTGGCTCATCGACGAGTGGAGCTCGAACGTCTTGCACGGACTACGCAGGTGGACAAACATGCCGGAGAGCGCGGGGTGTGGAAATAGAACTGACTTCTTCGATAGTGAATCTGGGCTGGTCGGAGCTTCTGCCCACGGGGCCGCTGGAAGCTGGGATACATCGAGGAGGTCGCTCAGGAAGACTTGCGCATCCATGACGATGCACTTCTCCACAACTTGCCTCCAGCCGTAGTAAATGCAATTTTCAATATAAATATAGAAAAATTACATTTCACTTCTACGCTGGAGTAAAAAGAGTCAATTATATTTTGTAAAATATATTCACATTGCTACGTAGATCTACGATTTAAGTGAGAACTACAATTAAACATCGAAAATTCTCGTAATATGCTTGAATCTATTTGTCACCCCTACTAAGTAGTTCAGTTGGCCGGCGCCGTATCCACCGCAAGATGGACTTGACCGCGCAAATGGAAGAGATCAGCCGTGAGAAGGAGCGTGTCGCTCGCATCGCCCGCCTAGCTGAAGAAAAATACGCCATCAAACAGAAGGAAATCGAAGAGGCGGCGAAAAAACCCAAGTTTATGACGCAGAAAGAGCGAGAAGAAGCAGCGTTAGCTCGTCTCCAGCAACGAGCCAAAAATGCAGCCACTGCGACGTCGTCGTCAGTGTCGCGGACATCCTCTTCATCAGTATCTTCGAAGTTTGCGAAGGTCAACGATTCGTCGTTTGATCGGCATCGACAAAATCAGCGCAAAGAGTCAACGTCGAAATCGTCGTCACAGGCAGAGCCAACAATGACGCGGGAACAGGAAAAAGAACTGGCGGCGTTGAAGGACCACTACCTTGGAAAGAAAGTGAACAAAAAGAAGGTCCTGAAGGCGAGCGAAAAGTTCTCCAAGAACTTCCAGTTCGATTGGGAGCCGTCTGAAGACACGTCCGGCGAGTTGAATCCCCTGTATAAGCGCCGCCAAGTGAATCTGCTCTTTGGTCGAGGGTACATGGCGGGCGTTGACATGCGCGAGCAGCGCAAGAAAAATAGCTTTGTCACAGAGTTGGCGCGAAAACGGCAGTTGGAACAAAAACTCGCCGACGAGCAGGCGGGCACCTTGACCGCTGAACAGATCGCTAAGCGGCAGCGCGACCGCGAACGCGAACTGCGCCGCATGCAAGAATGGGAAGCAAACCGCGAGCGCGAGATCGACAACATCGAGGCCGAGCGTGTGTTGCATTGGAGCGACAAGGCGCTGGAGAACATGTCGGAGCGTGACTGGCGCATTTTCCGCGAAGACTACGATATCATTTTGCGTGGTGGGAAGGCGCCGAACCCTCTCCGCAAGTGGTCTGAAGCGACGTTCCCAACGTCAGTCATGGAAGCAGTCAAGTTGATGGGCTTCGAGAAACCATCGCCGATTCAAATGCAGAGTATCCCCATTGGCATGCAGCGCCGCGATTGCATTGGTATTGCCGAAACAGGCAGTGGAAAGACCGCGGCATTCTTGATCCCGATCATTTGCTATGTGAGCTCCGTTCCGCCGTCGATGGTGACCCGCACGCCGGACCAGGGGCCACTCGCGCTCGTGATGGCGCCGACGCGAGAGTTGGCATTGCAAATCGAAGCCGAGGCGAAGCGATTGTCCCAGTTGACCAAGATTGGCGAGGGAGATACGGAGCACATTGTCAAGACACTGTCGGTAGTTGGTGGGCAGAATATCGAGGACCAAGGGTTTAAGCTGCGCGAAGGCATTGACATTTTGATTGGGACGCCGGGTCGACTCATGGACTGCATGGACAGCCACTACTTGGTCCTGAACCAGTGCAACTATGTCGTGTTGGACGAAGCCGATCGGATGATTGAAGAAGGATTTGAGGATCAAGTCACGGGTATTCTCGACAGCATGGGGGGCTTGCTCAAGTCGGAGAACGAAGCGGAGCTCGAGGCCCAGCTCAACGCAGCCGACAACGAGTTCAAGTACCGCGTCACGATGATGTTTAGCGCCACCATGCCGGCCATCGTGGAGAAGCTCGCCAAGACGTATCTGCGCCACCCCGCCATCATCAAGATTGGCGACGAAAGCTCCGGGAAGAACAAGCGCATTGATCAGCAAGTGCACTTTTTGAACGCTGGGAAGAAGCTGGCCAAGCTGTACGACACTGTGCGTGAAATCCTGCGCAACTCGAAGACCCGTGAGACGGCCAAGATCATTGTGTTTGTGAACGAAAAGAAGGGGTGTGACCTCGTGGCCCGGGCCGTCGGGAAAGAAGGGTTTTACGCTACTATTCTGCACGGTGGCAAGTCGCAAGACCAGCGCGACGAAAGCCTCGCTGGGTTTCGCGACGGCACGTACGATTTGTTGGTGGCGACTGATGTGGCTGGACGTGGTCTGGACATTCCAGACGTCACGCACGTTATCAATTACGACGTCCCGAAGGAGATTGAAAAGTACTGCCATCGCATCGGCCGAACGGGGCGTGCCGGAAAGGAAGGCGTAGCGATCTCGTTCCTCACGGATCAAGACGAGGACATTATGTATGACTTGAAGACGTACTTGGAAGCGACCGACATGCCGGTACCACCTCAATTGGCGAGCCACCCGATGGCCAAAGCTGCCCCCGGAGCGCGCGACGACAAGGGCAACATCATTTCAAAATCGAAACGTGACACGGTCATATATTCCGGCTAAGGTCGAGGCTCAATATACAAGATATACAAAACCCTGTTTGTGGCGACGAGGCGGTGGAGGGCCGTCCACATGAAACCCAGCGCCACGTGGCGTGCTTTCGAGATGATGAATGGCGTTCTTTCTATGGCGGCGTGCCTCTGGCGCAGCTTAAGGAACGAGCGACTCGGGGGGGGCAAACGTATGTGGCGTCGAACACGTCGACGCGGAGAATCGAACCCTCCATGGGCTTGGTTTGCACGACGACCCCACGTCTACACTCACGTAGCGTCGGTACAACAAGTCGCAGGAATCCTTCGAGCACCACGGGCTGCAAACAAGTCACTTCCAACGGTGGCAAGGCATCGGTGTAGCCTGGGTTCAGTGCCAAAGCTAACCAGCGCGTTAGGTCTCCAATCTTGGCCGTGTCGCCTTTGGCCCAGTCATCCATGAGTCGTTTCCAAGGCAGTGATCCAAGTGAGTACGGCAAGGGATCGTCAAAGTTGTTGATGGTGGTCCAGCCGGGCGAGTCGTGAGCTTGCATGGCTGCTAGTAAATTGGAGTGCACGTCGGTGAGCAGCCGGCGTATCGTTTGCTGTGTGGCTGCCGCGAGCACTACTGGCGGCGTTTTCCCACCGACGGATGACATTTTCTGCGTGCTGTCAAATGCCCCAGTGACGACTCGAATGAGTGACACGAGCGACATTTCGACCGCTTCGATTGCGTCTTGGTATCGCAGCGGTACATTGGTGGACTTTGCGTTAGGTAGAGCTCCTGCATGCCCTTCGGCAATTGTCGGTAACCCAACTGACATCATGACGGGGCTCTGCAGCTTGAGGGGGTGCATGAGCCTCCGACTGGCAGGAGCGACCACAACTTCCTGTTCACGACTCGTTTGCTTTTCTTCGACGTAAGCGTCGGGCGACCGCTTCAACGACACGGCCGACTGTTGGTTTGAATTGGACGATCGGCTTTGCCTTTCGCGTCGTTGGTCCTTACAACTTTGCAGCCCATCTAACGCCCGCATGCGCTTTTCGAGATGCTCCATCTTTTTTCGGAGCGCGTCTTGCTGGGCTTCCAACGCCTTGGCCTTGCGCTCGTACCGCGCAAGGAGGTGCTTTCGCCACCACCGCTGGAGCACAACGAGGCCCATCGAAGACAGCCCTGCAAATGAAAGAATGTTGAAGCAATGTTGGCTTTGTTGTTTGTAATTGCTGACAGCTTGCTTGCTTCACCGAACTGCACGTTGCGCTTTCGATGCGTGTCAAACCAACGTTTTGAAGCTTGGGATTGGTCGAAACAAGAACGGCCACAAAATTCTTTTTCTGGTCGCGAAGCGTCCGGTAATATGTTTGCATAATAAAAAACACGAAAAATAGTGCTACTGTCATGAATCTGGACATGGTCGCGATACTTGATTGGCTGAATTATCCGGATATTTTACTGGCGCGCCGCCCGCAGCCCATCTTTCTTCCGCACTTTGTGATCGATCATGCGCATTCTCCACGCACTCCGACGACCGTCGATCTTGTCGCGGCACTTGCGAGCGTTTTCGGATGCCGCGCCTAGCAAGCAGGCGGCGCTTAACACAGAGCTCTTTGAAAAGTACCCTCATCCTGAAGGATACATGAACAACCTGCGAAACATTGGGATCTCTGCCCACATTGACTCAGGCAAGACGACGTTGACCGAACGCATCCTGTTCTACACAGGTCGTATCAATGCCATCCATGACGTGCGCGGCAAGGACGGTGTGGGCGCCAAGATGGACTCGATGGAATTGGAACGCGAAAAGGGTATCACGATTCAAAGTGCCGCCACGTACGCCCAGTGGAAAGATGCGAACATCAACATTATCGACACGCCCGGTCACGTCGATTTCACGATCGAAGTCGAACGCGCGTTGCGTGTGTTGGACGGTGGTGTGTTGGTGCTGTGTGGTGTGTCTGGCGTGCAATCGCAGTCGCTCACGGTCGACAAGCAGATGAAGCGGTACGGTGTGCCTCGCATTGCATTCATTAACAAGTTGGATCGCATGGGCGCCAACCCGTGGAAAGTCATCAAGGATTTGCGCAAGCAGCTCAAGTTGAATGCGGCCGCTGTCCAAGTCCCGATCGGGATCGAAGATCAATTGGAAGGCGTTGTCGATCTCGTGCGTATGCAAGTATACCGCAACGACGGCCCGAGCGGCGAAACCATTTTGACGTCGTCGGAAATCCCGGACAACCTCAAGGAATTAGTGGCCGAGAAGCGCTTGGAAATGATCGAACGGCTCGCGGACGTCGACGACGAGATTGGCGAACTCTTCCTCATGGAAGAAGAACCCACAGTGGACCAGCTCGTCGGGGCCATTCGTCGTGCTACCATTGCGCACAAATTCGTCCCAGTGTTCATGGGATCTGCTTTCAAGGTTCATCTCATCATTCGTACTGCTGTGTTGGTCACGTCTTCATCTTGTGTAGAACAAGGGGGTACAGCCCATGTTGGACGGTGTAATCGACTACTTGCCGTCGCCGTCGGAAGCTCAAAATATTGCGTTGGACCAAGGCAAGAACGAAGAACCTGTCCTTGTCCCGTGCTCCCCGGACGCGCCTCTCTTGGCGCTTGCGTTTAAGCTGGAGGAAGGCCGATTCGGCCAACTCAGCTACATGCGCATCTACTCGGGCACGTTGAAGCGCGGCGGGTTCATCTACAACATGTCCAACATGAAGCGCATTAAGGTACCTCGTCTTGTCAAGATGCACTCGAACGAAATGGAAGACGTTGAAGAAGTGTCGGCGGGAGAAGTCGTCGCCATGTTCGGCGTCGACTGTGCTTCTATGGACACGTTCAGTGACTCGAACTCGAGCAAGATGACCATGACGAGTTTGCACGTGCCCGAGCCTGTGATGTCACTCGCGATCATCCCGAACAACAAACAAAATCTCAACAACTTTTCCAAGTCGCTCAACCGGTTCCAGCGCGAAGACCCGACATTCCGCGTCAGCGTAGACGAAGATTCCAAGCAGACGATCATCAGTGGCATGGGCGAGTTGCATTTGCAAATCTACATCGAACGCATGAAGCGCGAGTACAACGTCGAAGTTGAAAGCGGCGCGCCCCAAGTCAACTTCCGCGAAACGATCAAGCAAAAGGCCGACTTCAACTATCTCCACAAGAAGCAGAGCGGAGGGTCCGGTCAGTATGCTCGCGTCACGGGGTACTGTGAACCCATCTCGCAAGAAGAGATTGACGAAGGCGCTGCCCCGATTCAGTTTGTGAACGATATCATCGGGTACATGCACCCAGTGGTGACTTGAGATGAATCCCTGTTGACTTGTAGGAATGCCATCCCCCCCGAGTATATTCAAGCGTGTGAGAAGGGTGTTAACGACGCCGTCCAAAAGGGCTGGCTCCTCGGGCACCCGATCACCCGCATCCGTGTGGTCCTGACGGACGGTCAAGCACACGCCGTGGATTCGTCCGAACTTGCGTTTCGCACGGCTATGGTCCAGGCCATCCGTTCTGCGTTCACCAAGGGGTCGCCCAGCGTATTGGAGCCTATGATGACAGTTGAAGTCGACATCCCGAACGAGTTCCAAGGCGGCATCATCGCCGAACTCAACCGTCGACGTGGCATGATCCAGAGCAGCGAAGCCGACGAAGTGTCGACGGTCGTGCGGGCTGACGTCCCGCTCCAAAACATGTTTGGGTTCTCGACCGACTTGCGGTCTTCGACCCAAGGCAAGGGTGAGTTCACGATGGAGTACAAGACCCACGACTTTGTCGCGCGCGATGCCCAAGAAAAGCTCGTCGCGGAATACCAAAAGGCCCAAGAAGCCAAGAAAAAGTAAACGGGACGTGCCCTCTATCGTCACTTCGGTCGACGCGTTCTCGCCATCCTTTCAATATAGACGCCCGTGCATTGAAATCCATTTGACCCATCCCCAAGCTGACTCAAAGCAGCACGCTCCGTCTGCACATGACCACAAGAACATGGTATGTTGTTTCGTGACCAATGCGAGCCGGGTCCCTCCAATGTGCCACAAAACATGTCACAACGCCGTGGCTATATTCGAAATCCCACGTCGGATACATACAACCACGGCAAGGCATCATTGACTTCATGTGGTGCGCTATTTCACTCGTGCGCAGACTCGGGCTCGCTAAACGACACGTTTTGAATGAAGGAAACGCGCTTTCGCTTCCTCTAGAAGATTTGAAAGGCGTGAGCGTCGACTGGGGCTCTGTGTTGAAAAAAAAAGCGCACGCACCATCGTCGTCGAGAGTGTTCGTGGGGTCATACGAACTTGATGGTCTTGGGACGTCGCAGCCCCCCAGTTCAAGTGATAGAACAGCGCCTCGGTTAAATAATGTTCTGGGATCACGCCCGCAGCCGCTAGAGGCTTGACTTTGCAATACAGCTCGCGCACGCTCATGGAGGAAAACCGAATCAGCGCGAGAATGTCGGCGAGGATGGCTTGCAGCGCAGGTCCATGAGGGGTCGAAGCGTCGCCGAGCCTTGCTTCACCCCATGCAAGGATGGCGTCGAGTAATGCGGATTCGCGAATCTAGCCATGCGCGCATGAAATGTTCAGCCCACACAGCAAGTCGTCGAAACCTGTAGATCGTCCATCGCAATCAACTCGCAGAGCAGCTTCTCTGGCAGTGGTTCGATCATCTGCGGCTTGAACACATGTGCCGCATGTTGCAAGATGAATGCTTTGCACAATTCTCGCAAACCAACGAGCTCGTACATCTCCGCCGCTGACAGCGTCTGCACGACGGTATGTGTGGCGAGTTGCACTTCCCCAGTGTAAATGAACGTTAACACCTGAGCCATTGTTGCACTGGTTACGTCGTTGAGGGTTACTTCCATTTGTGAACTTTCACGCATGCGACCCGTCAGCATCGCATTCAACGGCATTGAGCTCAGCCCCAACATGAACCTGTGAGCGTGAAATCGACTACCACCAACACACAGGACAACGTCCCAGCTGCTTCCAGGTGCCGGCGATTCAAAGTCGAACCGCGCAAGGCGCTGTGAAAGATCCCGGTGATCTCGAAATGTGCCCAACACCAACGCCGGCGGAGCATCGGCCGCCAATTTGCCGGCGCCGTCGGTCATGGCAAAGTCCCTGCAAAGTTGCAATTCTTGCATGATTTCATTGGCTATAAACATGCCATTTCCAGGTCTTGATATGTTTTGATTGGTTAATCAACCAACACGGCAATTGCAGCCCCCTTCCTTGATTCACTGAAAGGCTTGCTTCCAGAGCAAACGTTACAATAATCATCAAAGAGCCCACTAGATTCACCAGAGCGCATCCATTTCTCTCCTCATATATGGCCAAGCTGGCATTGCTCACCGAAATCTGCGCCAAGAGTTGAGTTTGGGCGCAAAGTAGTGCGGCAATGGGTGGAGTTGTCAGGTGACGAAGAAATTTTCGTGCACTATTGTATTTTATTAATACAAAATTTGTATGTCAATGTCATCATGTGCATTAAAAGTCGAATGTGCGTGTCGCTGTGCAGAAGGACATTCCGGATAACATCCGGATACGCGGCAATCGCCCACAAGATTGCGAAGATTGCTCGGTTCAACGAGTGTGTCATCGCTGAGGGCGGCGCACCACCGTCGTGACCATGCGCCGTCGAAAGCTACAGGACCTGCGTGTATTGAGCTTTAACCTCCTTGCGCCTTGCTACTTCCGTCATGGCGGCCGGCTCGAAGCCACGGACTCACGGCAATACATGGGTCGCCTCGGTGCGTTGGTGTCCCCGCTCAAAGCCGAGCTCGCCAACATCATGTGCCTGCAGGAGTTTTGGTTTGACGAAACGTACATGCGGACGTTCCAGTCGCATTTTCCAAATTTTAGTTGCTACGCATCCAAGCGCCCGGGGCTCAAGGAGGACGGGCTCGCGATATTCATCGACCACTCCAAGTTGGCGATCCACAACTTTCGCCAGCTCGATTTCGACAAGGCCGGCGAGCGCGTCGCCATGCTCATGCACTTGAGCTTCCTTCCAAACTTGCTACCGACGCACACGCACTCGTTCATGGAGCGGTCGTTCCTTCTCATCAACACGCATCTCACGTTTCCACACTCGGACATCAACCGTGTCATGCGAATGAACCAGATTGAGACTATGCTCGACGCTATCCAGGAATACCAGCGCAAGGAGCACCTCGAGCAATGTCCGGTGATCATGTGTGGCGATTTCAACGACATCTACGACCCAGTTCACAACCTCGTCATGAGCCAAGGCTTCCAGAGCGTCTTTGCCGAAGTCCACGGCCGCGAGGCCAAGATTACGCACTGCAACCACAACAACAGTGAAGTACGTCCTCCTCTTCGTGTCATGGGCATCCCACGAGTCTCTTCTTTCTAGGTCGGTGTCGACTTCATCTTTAGCTACAACCCGCCGGCGCCGCCTCAAGCGCCCAAGGACCTCGAAAAACATGTGATTCTCCTACCCAACTCATGCGACCTCCTGCCTCGGTCTCTGCCCGATTCGACACGATTAAAACGGCCCGAGTTTCTCTCTCCAATGACTCCATGGGAAGCCGTGCAGGTAACCAGCCTTTCATTTGCCCCGTTTTGATCAAACATCGCGAGAGCACTTGACTTGACATCGCCGTAGTTTGAAGACTCGACGGCGCAATCGATCTCGGACGCCGTCGACTACTGGCGCCTTGTCTCGGACCACCGGCCTTTAGTGGCCAAATTTGAAGTCGATACGAATTCGTTGTAGCTCAGTCTTACGGACGACGATGTAGCAATTGGTTGGTGTTCGTGTCACATAGTTCGATCCATTGTCCTTGCATGGAATGCGATGCCATGAAAGATCGATTCCCACGACTAGTAGATCAAATCCAGCCACTTTTAGCCGGTGCCTTTCCCAGGATGCCTTCGAACGACGTCGCTGTACAAGGAGCATCAGCACCACCTCGACATCTTCCACATCTGGGCTCTGGAACGATCACGGGTCGTTGTCGTGTCCACAAGGCAAGCACTCATGAAACTTTTCATCATGTTGTCTCGCGATTACATCGAACTCCATACACACGCATTGGCCACGTCATCTGGGGCATCCCTTTCTACATGTCGAGTGACATCCGGTACGACGCAATGTCTTGTAAAGCATCCATGAGCAAAGCGTGCTCTCGCTCGGCGTCGGCTAGGGCTTCGAAGATGTACCAGGCCTTCCACCGGTCAAACCCCCTCAAGACGAAATAACGTCGCAGTTTTGCCACCCTCCGTTTGAACTGCATGTCGCTCACTGCACGAGCACGCAGTTGAAGGTGGGGGGCTGCCGCACCAAGTGCAGCCTTCCACCGCACAAACCGGCGGCGAAGTTGCTGTACGTGGCATGTCTTGGTAAAGAATGCCATGAGCCACCGCTGCTGTCGCCGGGCGTGCAAAACACTTGCGTTCCACTGCGCCAGAGTCCAGTGTGCGACCGCCGATGCCGTGCTCGATGCCGTGGTTGAAGTCAACGCCAGGTCAAAAGAAAGACCGTTGACGTGCAGAAACCACCGCCACCACGCATGTTCGACTTGTCGTCGTTGCCATGAGATGGCAATGTCGGCGGCTCGTCGAAGGATTGGTTGCCACGTGCCGCAGCCAGCATAGGCTGGCGAGGATTTGACGTCATGGACTTCGTCTAACGTAGCCGGTGCAACTACAAATTGCCTCCATGTGTGAAACACAACAGCTTTAGCAGTACTCGACCGCACGCGGCGAACGAAATCGCTCCATCTCTCTCGATCGCGACAAGCTCGAGCGCCACGGGGAAATGTCGATTCAACCCACAACCGCCACATATGCCGGAGGTGATGGCGACTGGACACAGCGTTGGGCTTGTCGCGTGATGCGATGAGCCATGCGTGCCAAGCTTTCATTCGACGAGTTCGGTCTCTGGACGCTGTCATGTGAGCCACAGCCGATGCGCGACGGCGATGGTGATATCGAGTGTATTCAGACCACTGGCAAACCAGGTTGCGCAGGCTTCTGATGGTGATCCATTTGTGCCGCAAGTGGCCGTGCCGGGATTCCGAGTTGGAATCGAAGACAACTTGCTTCCACGCGAAGAAGATCGCGGGCAGACGGGGAGTCAGATGGGACATGTGCATTTCGAGGTAACGACACAGGAGCATCATTTGGTCGTGCTGAGCTCGGGATTTCGCCCGTCGTGAAGCGCGACCCTTGGCGGCGTGCTGCCAACTGGTCAGGATGAGGCCCAGCAGCGCCCGTGTTGAAGCTTTGTCATCGGCCTCCACGACCAGAGTTTTCCGCCATGCAGCCATGCAGTGACGGAGAAGCGCCCGTTGCGCCTTGTGGTGACCAAGGCACACTTGGCGTTGTCGCCACTGACTATGTCCATGAAGAAAACTTCTCCAGTGTTGCCAAACGAAGCGTTGAAGCCACGCGTGTCGATCGTGCAACCAGCGAGTCACACATCGGTCTCTAGTCAGCCGGACTTGCACACAACGGACGGCTCGCAGGTGCCATCGATCCATTGCATCCTTGAGTCGGCAACCCTTCCATACCCGCATGGATGCCTCCCATGCATGCCACGTACGCCGCAACTGGCGGGATCGTCGTTTTCGCCACCACCACCGGCGCATGCGCACCAGCCGAGTCCAGGCCGACCAAACGAGAGCCACACTGGTCACCTCGCTTCGGAGGATAGCAAGCGACGCATACCGCCTGGCGCTTCGCTGAACGCCAGCCGCTTTGGTTTCCAGTCCTTGTCGTTCGTTGGCGATGCTCAAATGAAGTGTCAAGGCCATCTGTCGTTGATGCTGCCTGAGCCATTTGGTCCAGGAAGACGACAACTGCCGGCGCATTGACAAGACGACGCACGACCGCAACATCCGCTGCTTTGCCGTCCATCGCCGCTGCCATCGACTCCATGCTGCCATCACATGACGAACAAATCGTGTCCGTAATGAGGTTTGCATGTGGATGACTCGACGTCTTCTGCGACTATAAGTTGCCCAGTGGCTCCACAGCAATTTGACCATCTCTTCCTGGGCCATTGCCAATGCGCTTCGATTCGATTGAGCCGCAACTGCTGCCTGTCTCCACCGATGGACGATAGGTCTCAAAAAGTGCAGTGTGTCAAGTACCAAGGTTTGCGAGGCAACCATGTCTTCAATGATAACGACTCGCTGGAGGCATTCGTCGTGCATGGAACGGCGCACGAGATGATGCCACGTGTAAAAGCCACAAAGGATGTCTCGTCGATATCGACGCGAGGCAAACGAGCGAAGCACGCGGCGTTGGTGACGGCGTCTAGCCACCGTAGCGTTCCAGCAATGAAACCGTGTGGCGAGAGTATGGATGGCGCGAACGTGTCTTGCGAACCGCGCTCGTTTCATCACATCCATCCAGGAGGACCAAGCGATGGCTAATCGAGTGTGGCGGGGCACAGTCACGCTCCGCCACGCAAACATGCACCGACCGAGGAGACCATGCTTGGCTTGGAGGTCGATCAAGTGCGCAACTGTACGGGTTGCTCGCTTGAATTTGCATTCAGACTTCGTCGTCGATTCGTGCAACGAGAGGCGTTGGGCCTTGCGTCGCCATGACGACAGTGCCAATGCCAAGTAGTGCCGACGCATCGTTTTCCACAGCGCTCGAAGGACGCCATGGCGGCCGTTTCTAGCGATGCGGAATATCGTCCAAGTCGACATGCATCGCCTCAACAAATACGACCTGGCCATGCCTTGGCGATGGGACCACTGCCTCCTTTGGTCCTGATCGAGTCAAGTGAGGAGATGTCATCACGACGTGAACTGACCTGGCGAACGAGGTGATACCGATACCACCGATGCCAGTACCACTGCAGTTGCAAGCACTGCCGCAGTCCTTCCGATTGCCTCCCAGTGTACTTTGCAAATTTAGCTCTCTGAACGCATTGTCTCGCCGCGGTGGCGGCCAACAGCCAACGTATAAACCCGCGACGAGTTAACTTGGCTTGAGTTTTCGTCAAAAGGCGGTGCAGAACATCGTGACGTCTCCACGCCTCTAGCGACAGGTGATGCCACTCACGGAAACTTTGATGGAGCCGTCGCCGATCCCAGTGGAGTTGCAGCAGCCTCAAACCCCTGGCATTTCGAACAGGCGATTGCATTGCCAGCCACTGTTTCCAACCCCATCGCAATTGACATTCCGCAATATAACCAAGGCGTCGGTACAACGACTGACGGATGTGGATCGAATTCCGAGTATATCGGTTCCATGCTTGGACCAATTGGCGTTGCCACGCAGCTCGTTGCTGATGAAGCATGATGGCAGCGACTTGTTTGCTTGCTGCGTTGGCGGCTTCGTCGTACTGGAGCCCCAGCTGTGCATGGGAGTGCCCTCGCCATCTCAACAGGGCCGATGCTAGCGATCTCCCACAGCGCCGTCGACCCAACTGCCGCAACGACGCGATCTGCTCGTGTCGGCGAAGATGGTACGCCGTCCATGTTCGAAAAAGCCACGTGACATGTTGTCGCTGCCGCCGATGCATCATCGCGTCACTCCCGTGAACGATTTTGCGAGTAGCCGCGACTTGGTAGCGCCACCTCATCCAGGTCGTCGAAACAAGTGTATTTGTGCGTCGGCTGACTTGCGCCAATTTCGCGTCACGATGGGCATGGCGCAGGCGTTGTTGGAACTGGTGCGTCACACTCAACACCCGGCTGGACCACGTCCATCGCGTCCAGGCGACTACGAGCCCTTTGTGACCCAGCTTATGTCGTTTGAGGATTCGAGCCAAAGCACTTTGGGCTTGTTTTCGGTGGCACACTTTATGTTTCCACACTCCAAACGCTTGAACGTGCGACCACTGCCATCCGAGCAGACCACGGCGAAGGCTTCGCTCAGCGTGTGCGCGTCGAGTTTGAATGTGGTGGAGCCACAAGTGCCATGCTCGAAATGCCCACCGCAGGAGATGCTTGGCATGGCTGGCAATATTCCGTGCTTGTCCCGCGTTGGATGCCGCCACGGCAACATGGCACTGTCCCCATGCAAACTTGCGCCAAGCCCGAAACATTCGACAAAGCAATTGGTGGTGCCGGTTGCTACGATACAGTGCGACTCGGCTCTGCAGGGCAATCTTCCGACGCCACACGGCAAAGCGATACCTGCATTGACCCCGTCGAAGCACATGAAAGATGTCGTTCGCCGCTTGGACTTGCGTTCGTCGCCGGCCGACAGATACACACCAGAGAGCAAAGGCACTTTGCATGTAAAAGCGACGTTTTTTGAGACGAGCCGAGTTTGACGTAACCCTTCTCCACGCGGCAAACGGGCGAGACAGAGCCGCTTCGTGGAGCCGATGAGTGCAAGCCCGACTCCAGATCAACTCCCATTTTCCCTGAATACTATGTGCTGTCCACTTCGTCCACGCACGATGCTTTCGCCGCTGCCACCGCTCAACAACTCGAGCTAAGAGCCGCTTGAGCAGGCGTCGTCGCGGTAGACAGCGACCCCATTGAGTGACGACCCGGCGGAGATAGTGGCGCCGGCGAATGTACGCCATGTAGTGGGCAGCGTGGGATGCTTGGCAATGCCGCCGGCTCTGCTCAAGCTTCAAGTCCAAGTCGCTGTGGATGTGGGAGTACTTCAACTGGAGGTGCAGCTCCTGTTCTTTGTGTCGACGAACGCTTGCAGCGACGAGCATGGACATTCCTGTGGCTAGTAACGCACGTAGTCGCTTGGTGATCGACCTTTGCAACAGTTTTGTCCGGCGGCAGAGGCGCCACCACTGAAACAAAACTTGGTGGGCGAATCGGCGAGTATGCTGCCCTCGCAGATGACGAATGCATTGCCGGGCCATTTGACGCGTGTGACGAAGGCTTCTCCATCGAAAGAACAGCTTGCGGACGACCTGAGCCGTTCGTTTGCTCGCGTGCTGGGTGGCCAACAGGTTGACTCGGTGCTGCAACCGAACGTACCCACCCCATCGCATGAAACGAAGGCACAGGTCGATGTGGTTTCCAATGGCTCGATGTCGCTCTTGCTCAGCCGACGTCTGGAGCTCCAAGTAGGCGTCAACGTCAGCTTTTTGCTTTGCGCATGTTGACCTTTCTTCGGCTAATGCAGTCTTGGCATCTTCCAAACATGCCAGCCACGTGTGAATCTGGTAGTTTTTCGAGTGCAACTGCCACACAACAAGGCCTTGCGCAAGTCGGCGGCGGCGCTTGGCGTCCATGACCTTTCCCAGGAGATATCTCCGACGAACTTGGACCCATTTGTATTTGACCCATCGTTGCCATTGCGATCGCAGCAGCCGCCATCGAGTCGACCGTCGCGATGATGCGCGTGTTGCAATGTGATTTGACCATGTTGTCCACACACGTCGCAGGAGATAGCGGAGGTTCCGCGTGTACCACACTTGAGCCGTGTGTTTCTGGTCGTGCGACGTCGAGAGCGTCCCCTTCCACGACGAGAAAATATTTCGCCGAAGGCTTGTGGCATGCGGCTTTGCAAGAGCAAGCATCTGTTTCTCCAGGCGATGTCGCAGTGCGTCTAGAGAATGCACGACCAGTGGTGGAGGCTGCAGCGGTACCGTCGGCTGCGACAGCGACTGGGTTTGTTGTGCGGCTGAAGATGACGTAACGACTAGGGACGACGTAGTCCATCGCACAAAGGCAAGGCGGAGGGTCAACTGTCGCCGGCGAATCAGCAGAAGACACCATGTGCGCACACGAACAGCGTGGCTTTTCAAAGTTGCCAAGATTTGTGAGAGGTGCCGGTGCCGTCGGCGTCGAGCGAGTGACGCAATGCCACGATGTTGCCACCGTTCCAATTGCTCGTTCGCTTCATCCAACCTCTGGGCCGTTGTAGTACTACACCTCAACGCTTCCGCTGCCACCTTTTTGTTCATTTCGACAAGCAGTAGCAAGTCTTGGATCTTGGATTCGTACGCCGCGACTTGGCCATGCCGCAGCTCGCTTTGTTTCTCGGCGTCGGCCAGCTTGAAACGAAGGTGGGCCTTTTCGACCTCCAAGTGGCGCAGGGCCGTTGCAGTCAGCACGACGCCTCCGTCGGAGGCGCCTATGCTGCTATCAGTCTCGGACGAGGCCATCGTGGAGGCAGTACCACAATACGAGACCGGTCTGTCCTCTTAGGGGTATAGAATTCGCGCCGTTTCAAGATTCGTCCCCAGCCAATCACACGCGTTGGAACACTAATTCGAGTTGTTTGAATTATTTGCGTTTAGGCGGGCCGAAAAGCGATGCATCATCGTCCGACCATCCATCCGAGTCGGAGTCTTGCGCTTCGAACAGCCGGGACGCGGTGGGTGGAGGCGGCGCTCTCGTCGCTGCTGGTGCAACAGGCTTAGGTGCGTCGCCAATCAATATTGTTGACGAGGAAGAAGTTGGGAGGGCTGTGGTGGAGGTAGACGAATGTCCAAACAGACTGCTGGAAGCCACAGCGTCGCTGCCAAATAAATCTGCCGAAGACGACGCCACTGTTGCGACAGTACCGAGTATCGCTGCTGGTGGCGCGGCTCGAAGCACGGCCCCTGCGGTCGTGGCTGACGATTGGTCACCAAACAACGAGCTCGACGAAGTTGCCCATGACTTGGCGTCACTTAAAGTAGCAGTAGATGCGACGTTTGAGGCAGCACTGACGACTCGAGGATCTCCGAATAATGAAGAGCTGGAGCTCGCTGCTGCGGACGCGCTCGATAGAGTCGCCGCAGGTTGATGCGTGGCTGCTGCATTGCCAAATAACGATGCCGAACTCGTTGGTTGAGGTGCACCGCCAAACAGCGAGCTGGTGCTGGATGATTGAGTGGCGCTACCAAACACATTGCTTGCAGTATTTGGCGTCGGATTTGCCGCTGCAAGAGGGGGTTTGGTGGACATGCCGACTGAAGCACGACCGAATAGACCACCGTCGTCGTCACTCCAGTCGTCATCGCTGTCGACTTTTGCCGCCGGTTTTGAAATAGTGGAGGCATCAGTTGGCGCAATCACTGCAACGGGATCTGGCACCGGTGTGCGAGCGGTGGGGAGCTGACCTGCAGCAGGTGGCGGTTTGGCAGTCGCAGTGGGTTTTGGCGGTGGGGCACCGAAGAGATCTCCAGCATTCGATTCGTTGTCACTTTCGTCTCCACCGAAAAGGTTGGTTGCAGGAGATTTTGCTGGTGCCGCGGAACTGCTCGCGTTTCGCTGCACAGCTGCGCTTCGAGGCGACTTGGGCGTGCTGAATAGGTTGGCACTCGACTCGTTCGTGTAGTCTTGGCTTTGAAACAAGCTGTGTAAGCGAGTTTGGGGAGGTTGAGCTGGTGCGATCGTTGCAGTGGTCGTCACTGTTTCAGTCACTGTGACCGAGGCAGGCTTAGAGGCTGGAGCCGCCGGCGGAGCTGGACGACCAAATAACCCCCCATCATCGTCACTGTCACCGTCGCTGTCCCCGCCAAAAAGAGTGGACGCTTTCGGTGGTACCGCGGTAGGTAGAGGCCGTTGAATGGGTGGCATTTGGGGTTGAGATTGAATCGGTGGTTGCAATTTCTCTGGAGGCGGGGTAGGCTTTGACCCAAACAGCAAACCGTCATCGCTGTCATCGTCACTGCCGTCGTTAAAGAAGGAGGACGGTGATGTGGCCTTGGCACTGGCTGTTTTTGCAGGAACTGGAGGAGTTGCCTTTGGTTGCGCTGCTGCAATGGAGGCAGCAGGTGGGACAGGAGCTTTTGACGCAACACCAAACAATCCACCGCCATCATCACTGTCGTCGTCACTGTCAAAGAGAAGTTTCGATGACTTCGCGTTTGCTGGTTGTTTTGCTTCAGCACGAGGGCGTGTTGTGGTTCCAAACAGGCTCGAGTCGTTACTGTCGGCGCGCGTGAGTTGCTGGGGAAGCGGTACCGCGCCAGGCGGAGGCCGCTTCAAATCCATTGCGGTTGATGTTTGCCTTCCAAAGAGCCCACTTGACGACGATTCAGCATCGCTGTCGCTCTCTCCAAACAGCGACAGCCCAGCGGGTGTCGCGGCGGCACTGGGTTGTCTGGCAGGAGGTTTCGATGACGAACCAAATAGTCCCTCGTCTGAATCGTCGTCATCTGACGCTACGCGAGTCTTACCAGCCCGAGCTCTGAGTTCCCCAAACAAGTCAAGTTTAGGAGGGGGGGCTGGCGCAGCCGCGGATGGCTTTCCATCAAACAAGTCACGTCCCAAGTCTTCGGGGGCAAACAAGGAGTTGCTCTTTGCCTTGGACGTGGAGGGACCGGGATGGCTGTCGTCGCTGTCATCATCATCGTCGTCGTCCATGCCGAAGAGACCTCTGCGACTTGGGGCGGCACTGGCTTGGGCCCTTGGTTTCGGTGTGCGCTGACCAAACAGATCATCTGTCGACTCGTTTTCCCATTCCTCGCTCGGTCGCGGAGGAGGCATTGGGGGCATCGGCGGTCGTTTTGCTTGGACGGGCTCAATGCTTTCTTCGTCCGACTCTTCTTCCTCTGATCCTTCTTCTTCATCTTCCTCCGACTCTTCCTCTTCGGATTCCTCCTCCTCCGATGAATAGTCCTCACCCGACTCGTCCTCGTCATTTTCATCGTCGGAATCGGGGGCCGCCCCCAGACCCAAGTACTCATCTTCCAGGAACTCCTTCGTACCGATTACAAACGGCAAAGGTCTCTCGTTGTAGATGTCGAGCACATCTTCTTCGTCACCGACAGCAAATAGCTTGAGTGCTTCCATGCCGAGGGTCAACGCCGTCCTACGGACGAGTGAGACATGATCCATCATCATGAGAGCACTACACCTGTATTGATCGACCACTTGGATCTCCTTCTTCTTCGCATCTTCGGTGGCAACGTCTTTCGATTCTGTCGTTGTGGCCTCACCCGGCGCAGTCGTCGCTGTGGACGACGGCTCGGTGGTGGTCTTCATCTCGTCCTTGACAATCTCGTCTTCGTCCTCTTCGTACACGCGATTTTCAATGAATTGGCTGTCACTCAGCATGAGGAAATGGTTGATCGTGTTGTTTAAGCGAACGTCGGATTTTTCAGCAGCGAGTCCGAGCTCCCATATCGAGTTCTCGAGCTCCTTCGTCTTGGCAAAAAGTTGCTGCGAGAAAAGCTTGAGCTGGCTCGCCAGTGCTGCATCCTCCGCCAGAGTCCAGTCGTTCCCTTGCTGCGGAAGGATTTTCTCCCACGTCGCCACGGCGCTCATGATGACTGGGACCAGAATGTGTGCTAGGATTGCCCGTGTTGTTATCCGGATGCGTGGAGCCGCTTTATCCGGAATGCAAAACCGGAGTAACTCTATCGATATGAGATCAATTGGGTCGGAATGCGCCAAAGCGGCATCATGAACTCATTAGGACGGACACGGGACATGCACGCGAAGCAAGCGACGCTCGAGATGCATCCATCGCATTTTGTAGCACACGAGACACCTGTTCATGGATTCAGCTAATGGTTGTCGAGTGATCTTGCACAAGTTCTCTTTGCAGTCCACTCGGCGTCTGGCATCCTGCACTCCTGTTGACCACGTGGAGAGGTCACGCGTATCGTCGTACTTGCTTCGGTAGTCTAGTGTTCGCATCCGCGTTTGGTCATTGCGCGAAGACGACGTACCCCGAACAAGAGGTCACCACGATGCATCAAATGGTCAATCAATTTGTTCGAGTTTCCATCCCAATTATCGCGCTGTCATCTTATTATGGTGGCGAATATGCGACTTGGGACAGCCAGCGAGGTGAGTCCTCATCAGATCGAGGTTGCATTCGCAGGAACGGCTCCGCCGTATCAAAACTCTGCCATCGGCTGGCATCCGTTGACCGTCCAATTCTTCGATTTGGAATGCCGCTTGGGGCAGGTACAAGTGCAGGCGGTCGGTTGGAACATCCACTTGGGTAAAGTTCGGCGAAAAGCACTTGGATTCAGTATGGGGTTTCAACCCGCGTTGATGGGCATCGCCATGGCGATATCAAACGTTTCGAATGGAATCAAGACGTTTGAAACGCGTCGTCCAAGGGGTCGGGGGGCGTTCGAAACGCGTCGCTTCGAAATAAGAAGCTGATGGCCCACACAACGGTGGGATCGGACCGTCCATCTCCAGTACATACGTCGTACGTACAATCTAAGCATGGGCATTGACAGTGTGTTCGCGACCGTACATAATGCACGGCGTCGCCACATTCTGTCAGGATTTGATTCGCACGCAGGTCAATAGAACATCCAAGCACCGAGTGTCATAAATCTTCGATTAGCGTGGTTTTTCCAAATCACAGCAACAAGCACTCACGAAAAAGCCATCTCGAGCGCAACTGATTTGCGACCGCGTCCCATCGACTGCTGCACTCGACACGCATCAATGGACTCGACAACATCCAAGACCAGCAGCTTCATCAGCCCGAGTCGGTTGGTGCCTGCCACGACCAACAGTTTGACCTTGGACTTGCCCAAGGTCCACCCCCACACAACCACGCGACCAGGCAGTCCCAAGATGGAGTTTGCGACGCCACCCACACGCACTGTCACCCCACCTCCCATCATGAAGCTTCCACACTCGTTCGCGTCTAAACACGTGTCGCATCCACCGCATTTGCAGCTTAAAGTGTCAGGTACGACCTCGCAACGTGTGCTTCGTTGCCGTTGAAGCTCATATCTGGTGCAGATCCATATATCACCATGGACAAGAAACTCGCGACGCTCAAGATCCCGTCCGCGTGCGAAACCCCATTGCACTTCACACCACCACCGCCGTTCCCCGAAACGAGTCCGAGCGAGAATAAGATGATGGACGCCGATTTTGCCAAACGGTACATCCAAAAGTGGCGTTGCTATCAAACACTGGTATTGACAATACTCGTAGGAAAAAGGGGACACGGCGAGGCACGTTGAATCCCGAAGCAAAGAGTGTGTTGAAAGCTTGGATGTTTTCTCCTGAGCATTTTGCACATCCGTACCCGAGCGAAGAAGAGAAGGAAGAATTGGCCGCTGAAGCCGGCATCGAAGTGAAGCAACTTTCCAACTGGTTCACGAACGCTCGCAAACGATTATGGCAACCCGTCTTGCGTCAGTCTGGCGTGGAAGTGAAAAATTTCCTGTCAACGGGTCGAGGAGGTCCTCGTGGCGCCAAGTTAGATGTGCCAACCAACATTTCCTTCCTTGCGGGGTCGAACTCTCCCCCATCGTCACCGCGCAGTGCTGGATCCAACGACGACGACGACAACGTCAAATCAGCTTTTCGGATTGCATCTGTGCCAGACAAAGTTGTCAAGCGCATGCGACGAACAGAACCCCAAGACAACGAAAGTGGCAATAACTCGCCCGCGTCGTCAGAAGACTCGTTTGAACACCACAACAAGGAAGGATTCCGCGATGTTGAAATCTTGGCGGCCAAGTCGCTGCTCGGGTTGCATCGCGAGTACCAGTCGGTCCATTGACCACCGAGACACGGCAGTATCATTAGTTATCCTTAATTTTATTCCATATAAGATAATACAACGCATCCTATTTCGCGCGTCCTTCCGTGCACGGCGCTTCCACCTGCCGCGTGGTAGCGGCGGGTGGAAAGAGTCGGCGGTGATGTTCGACACGATGTCGAACCTTAAGAAACGTCCGATATAGATATGAAACGCCAGGGCTTCACCGAACATCTTGTTTGTGTATAGAAAAATGTTCAGGTAATAGAGGACCCAGTCGAGCAACCGTACAGTCGGCAGGCCGCCTCCAATATCCCGCTGCCCATCTCGTTTCACAACCCGCGAACAAGCCAAATGTCAACGCAACGTTTCGAACGTCGGTATGAAACGTTTGGATTTGAATGTGGGACACGGTTGATAAGCAAAATTGTGATTGGCTCACAACGGCGGTTGGATATTCCAGATTGACATGCAACGAGAAACGGGGCACTTCAAACTGGTGGACACGGGCGGGTGCGTCGGCACCTCGTCAGCAAAAGGACAAGGACCTGTCGCTACAAGAGCATTGTCGAGCGATATGAAAGCGACAGATCTTGGAAGGATGCATTGGATTTAACCAACTCACACGGTGTACCCACCCCGCTGCATTGTGGCTTGCATTACATACATCACCCCGCTGGCAACAAGTTGGCATGCCGCACCAGCAAGCAAGGTGGCGCCAACGGGACTTCTGTTGTGCTTCTCCGTTGTGCAGAGTGGTTGTGTCAGCTCTCGTAAATACGTTTTGGAGTCTGTGCATGTAGACTTGGCTGATCCGGGTTTGCGCCCCACCCCAGAGCGACAACACCGTCAAAGGGAAAGTATACCCATGTATTTGAGGGGTTCGATGATCAAGACGACTGCATTGCTTGCTTTCTGGCCAAATATCTTTCTTTAGCCGCTCGAATGACATCTTCTCTGCTCTGCGTTGGCGCTGGTGATGGGACAGGCAGTTCCTTTGTTGAGGCCTCGTTTGTGTGGTCGTCGCGATTAACTCGCTGAATTGTAGCTGCAGGAGCTGATTTGGGTGAAGAGACCTCTTTCATGACTTCCTTTGGTTTGTCTTCGCCCTTCAATTTCTTCGGTGATGGCGGGATGGTGGCGTCCAGGGAGTCTGAACGCTTCATGGACAGTTTGCCGGTCGTGTATGCACTAGTGGCTTTGGAAACATCGCCCCCCATCGCAATGTTATTCGTCAACAGGTTCGCGTAGAAACCAGCCATGCCATGCTCTCGTTTGGTCACGTCGTTTGCGGCTTCGATCGCGGCAAGCCTCGCGTCCTCCTGCTCCCAGCGTTTCGATTCCATCAGCTTTCGCTTGTACGACGCCGTGATGAACTTCTCCTTGTCTCCATGGAGAGCATCGTCCTCTTCGCGCTCCTTGAGCAAGCGGCGTTCTCGGATTCGATCGTGCTCGACTTCACGAATCTTGGCTTTCTCCATGAGGGCTCCAATATACTTCGACTGAGGAGCTCCGTGAACCTTCTTTGCTTCCTTCAGTTTCTGCCGTTCAGCTTGAATCGAGTCGTATGCACCATCATAATCAAATACGTTCGGGTCATCAGCCAAGGCTTCATGCGCCACGCGTTCAGACTTGGAGTACACGCCGGGTCGCGGTTGCGAGAGGAGGGGCGGTGGCGGAAGGGAGGAAGGTCCTTTTGTCACCACTGGAGGCGGTTCGTCAATAGAAAAGACCGAACTCGACCGTTGAGTCGCAGCAGACACAGGTGGAACGGACGATTTCTTGCCAGATTTCAGCTTCATGGAGAAGGCCATCGTAGGGCCGGCCGCGACTTGGCGCAGTTGGAGTGGTGAATCAGGCGATATTCTAAAACTCCTCAAATTCTGTGTTCAAATCGGTATTTTCCTGATTTTATCTCCTCCAATGATATCGGCACTCTGCGATCGATCGCAGCAAGAGGATGAAGGAGTTTGTGAGTGTAGCCGGACTCCGCGTGGACGGTCGTCGAGCCGGTGAAGTACGACGTGTTCGTGCCAAGTTTGGGCTCTTCCAGCGTGTGGATGGATCGGCCTACGTTGAACAAGGACAGACCAAGGTGATGGCCGTCGTGTACGGGCCGAAAGAACACTCTGGGCGAAAGCAAACCGAGGAAGTGGCGCAAACGAAGGCTCGTGTGACGTGCGAAGTGACCCAAGCGCCTTTTGCAACAAGCGAACGCAAAGTGACGCACAAGGCCGACCGCAAGAAGCTCGAGAGCTCCTTGGCGATCCTTCAAATATTCGACAGTACCATCTCGACACAATTGTACCCGCGCTCTCAAATCGACATCTTTGTCCAAGTGCTTCATGCTGATGGAGGTAAGTTATCCATTCAATGCTCCGAGTATTTTTAATCGTGCTATATCGATAGGTGAACTCGCGGCCTGCATTAACGCAGTGTCCTTGGCGCTGATCGACGCTGGAATTGCCATGAAGGATTTCGTCGTGGCATGCTCGGCCGGCTACATCCAGCAAACGCTTTTATGCGGTAAGAGGGTCCTTTCCAATCTAAGTTGACATTGTCATGGACAGATTTAAACTACACTGAGCAAAGCTCCCGTTGTCCGGACTTGACTGTGGCGCTCACAGCTCGCAACAACAAGGTAAGCAGTCATGACACCACGGAGTAAATCTCATCAGGAGAGTGTCACAGCTGAGCTTGGTGCAAATGGAGAGCAAGTTGCCGCTCGAACTGTTCGAAGTACGTGGACAAATCTTTGGGTTTCGCGCCGACTGACGGCGCCATCGTAGACGTTGATGTCGACGGCAAAGGATGGATGCTCCCAAATCTACGACATTCTGCAAAACGAAGTGCAGGAAAATACGTGGCGCCGCTTGGTTACACGGGAAGCATAATGACAGGTTACAGTGCTCGCAATTAGTTCATAAGTGCACACGGAACATGGGGATGGATGTGCCAGGGGCTTGACGGGGCGTGCGTGTCACGATGACCTTGATCGTGTCTTGAGCATAGATGATTTGCTTAGTATTAGTTTCCTTGGGTGAGTTATTGCAGCAGTCTCGACATTGGCAGCGAGGACCACACGCAATACCAGCTTGAAAACAGTCGCAGTATTTTTTGGAACACTTGGACTTTTTGCACCGGCACGCAATAGCATTCGCCTGATCCTAGGCGCGGCGATGAGGCACGTTATCACGGGAGATCAGTATGGCGTGCGGTACATTGGGGACCATTGGTACGAACTTGGTGATGGTAGCCAACTTTGCATCGAAGGACTTTGTCACCCCGTTCGCAACGACCGAAGTGGCTGAAGACGACACTCGGAACGCGTGAATGTTATTCTTCAAGTGCATCGCGATAGCGGACAGACGCTGGGTTGAATCTTTGGTGTTTAAGCACGAAGCACAAGTACATTGCGATGTACAAAACCCACGCGTCAAAAAACACCGGCAGTACCTAAATGCACGTTATGAGCGATCATGCAACGCGTAGCTGAAGCTTACAATTTAAGGCATCCGGTTTTGCATCCACAGCACGTTGATGAAGGTTGACTGTTTTCGTGCAGGGCCAATGCTGCGTTCGTAACATCGAAATCCCGCACTTCGCCTTCACTGGTCTGTGGAGGGCTTGGGTCGCTCACTTCAACGGAGAGCGCGGTCGGATCCTTTACCTCGTCATGCTTAATCGTGGGGAGCAAAAGGTCACTCAAATCTGACGGTTGTGCAACAGGAGCGTACATCGATCGCTTCTTGTGCAGGAGGGCGCAACACATGTCCATCCAGGCCAGATTGACCTCGTCTCTCCGTTCTGGACATTCTATCGGGATTGTCAATCGCGAATCGTCTGAAGTTGGTGTGCACGCCGCAGAACTGGACGGTTTCAGTCGTTTCGATGAGATTGTCTTTCCTTCATCTTGTGGAGGTTGGACGTTGTCGGAGATTGTACTCAGCGGCTTCCTCTTCACAGGTGCGCGGGGCTGACTCACTCCATGCGTGGGGCATGCCTTTGGGTTTTCCTTCTGCGTCGATTTCGTTCGGATCGGGGAAGTCATGTCCATGGGGGTGTGGTCGGGGCAGGGCGTCGCGCAGCAAGTTTGAGAGTGGCGGGGTGGCTCCGACAAATTCAAACGCAAAGGCGCCAAAGCATTCAAAACGATCCGTATCCGGAAAGCAGCCGGATACGCTAAGCTACATACACAGATTATTATTAGTAGATACTAGGTCTCAATGGTACTACTCCGTACTTACTATTCGCGAGGACGTTTCGCAGAAGCAGTTGGTTCGGTTTCGTGGGGACATCGTTTCACAGAGAACGCAACGGCTGAAGGCGTTGCTGTCACGATGTCGGCGGAGGTGCAAGAGTTCCACGCCATGGACGACAGCGCTCGACGCGATGCGAAGCGAAAGCGGAGTGTAATCACGACCTTCCGCACCGAGCAGGCCGCGTTTCACCAGCGGAGGAAATCAGCGGTCGATTTCCCACGCCTCGATTCAGCCGACTCTATGTCTTTAGGGGCCCAACCGCATGTTGCACCCCAGACAGTGATTTCTACCCCAAATGTGCCCAAGAGTGCGTTCCACTACAATCGATTCCAAGGGAAACAAGTCAACAAAATCAAGGTCGTCCCCGTCGATGTTAACCAGTCATTGAAATCGCCAGAGTCCAAAAAAGCCAAAAGCCCCAAGGCAAAACCCCAAACGAAGCGGTCTAGCCTAATCGAAAAAGCACGGAGCATTCGTCGGCTTGAAGAAAAGGTGTCATTCATCACGCGCCGGCGGCTCTTCTTCAAACGCATGCGGCAGCTCATCTTATACGTGTTTGGGTTTGTCCTGCTCGTGGGCATTGGCCTGTACTCCGTATTTACCTCCGAATTGATAACTCAAGCGCTTGCCGCCGGTCAAGTGACAACGATTGTGCAAAATGTCCGTGCATCTGCGATGGCGATGGATGCGAACGGAACCCTCTACATTGCAGACGCTTTTGCCAACAGGATATACACGTGGAACGGCACGTTGAACGATTTTGCCGGCTCGACAATCTATGCGTACGTGTGATCTTGTCATCTTGCAACGCTGACATTAGCTCATCGATATGCACAGGGAGGTTGATGGACCTGTTGCAAGTGCCCGATTTTCGTTCCCCACCGGGCTAGCAATTGACGTCGATCGCAACATTGTGTACGTGGCATCTCGAGACAACCAAGCCGTCCGCTCGATTCAGAATGGCACCGTGTCGACCAAGTTCTCAGCACGCAACCGTCGAATGGAGCAACCAGCGTCTTTACCCATTTACGTGTTTGACGAAGAAGTCGACTACTACGTGCCCATTTCCGTCGCCGTCGATTCCGTGGGCAACTTGTTTATTGGGTCGGGGGCCATGGTCGAGAAGATTGACCTTGATGGAACTGTCACGGTCATTGCTGGCAACGGATGGCGGGGGTACGCTGACGGGCACGCCGCATCTGCCAGATTTCGCTACGTGCGGTCGCTTGTCGTGGACCCGACGGGACGTTTTGTCTACCTGGCTGACATGTACAACCGCGCGATTCGTCGCATTGACATGGAGATGAACGAAGTGACAACGCTAACCCCGCGGGGCTTTGCCTTGGCCAGCACCGCGCGCCAGGCCGACTGTGTTCAGTTTGAACAAGATCAGTGCTACCTGTTCGACAAGCCGTACGGCATCGCGTTGGGTGCGAACGGGTCGCAGCTGGTTGTTGCCGACTCATGGAACAATTCGGTCACAGTGTTTGACATCAACGGAACACTCTTGCGCGAGTACGGCACGGGGGACTTTGGAGCCCAGGACGACTTTGTCCCCGCAGACCCTACGTTGCGCCCACAGGCACCAACGTTTGGCAATCCCATGAGCGTCGCAGTCGATGCGGATGGTTTCATCTACGTCGGAGACGCTGGCAATCGACTGATACGACTGATCGCTCCGTGATATTCAAACTAGTACTCACAACCTATTTAATACGACTGTGACAAACTTCTCCGAGACAAAACGGCGTCGGGGTTATCTTTAGTCTGTTAGGGCTTTTGCTAGCGCGACAATCGTAAAGCGGACTTCGCCCTCGTCGCGAGCCATGAATTGACGAATCACCCTGCACGCATCCTAGAGTAAGGTAAGATTGCCATGTTGTCACCATAAGAATACGCACCTCGAGCAGAGTCTCCTGGGACGACGGGCCATGATTGACTGGAAACTTCTTGCGGCCGTCCAGCTCGTACAAATGCCCGTCCACGACACTACTCACACATTCTTTGATCTGGACGACAGGTTTGTCCACGCACCTGAAACAGACAAAATGCGTATTGATGGGATCGTCCACTCGCTCGAGTTGCTACGAATTGACTTGTCAAGCAAAGGAGCCACAGGAAGTTGCAGCGCACTTCGGACTGGCCCTCTTGAGCTGCCGATGCATGGGTTTCTTCAATTTCGTCGTCGTCTTGCAGAATAGCCGCGATTTCGTCGGGTGTTTTGCCAACGGTCTTGGAGAAAAACGAACTGAGGAAGCTGCCATCACCTGGCGTCGGAATAAGTTAGTCTTAAGACAATTGCAAAACGCAAGAAGCGTGCGTACGAGGAGGCAAATAATCTTTGGCATTTCCAAGCGCATGCAAGATTCCAACAGTGCCGCAAGCATTGCCTACAGATGCTCGTTTAATGTGATGTCATGACGTCGGCAACATACCGACAGTTTGCTTCATGAAGTACACGTTAGGCGAAACGATCTGGCCCTCCTTTTCAATGCGCTCGAGCTGCTCCTTGGCATGGAGCTCACTCTATAAGACTGGCATGAAAAATGCATACGACACCACGGAGTTGTATGGTATTACCACGGGCTTGATCGGAAAGAGCATGACAACTCCCAAGACAGGCCGGAGCACCATCTCCAATGCCCACTCGTCAGTGCTGTACAAATCACAGAAGGCAAAGTCTGCATCCTCGGGAATACCCATTCGCCTGATGTACTCGTTCATGACTTGAGGATTCGACTCCAATGGGAACCATCGCTTCGCCTTGGACGCTGTCGTCATGGACTCAAGTTAACGTTAGGTCGACTTCCCAACGAAGTGTCTCCACAACCCAAAATCCGGATGTTTATCCGACGTGTCCTTAATGTCTGTCCTTCACACTATTTAATAGCAATTGCAACTCATCACACCAATTATGTAACCGGACCAATAACACTCACACTGTCTCGTCCAACTTCACTCGACTCAATATTGTGCAGTATTCCAGTGCAAAACACTGCATTTTTCCAGCACGACGCATATTTCGTGAAATGGGGCATGCACGCGTCGCTGGCGCCACCCCAATCCAACAATTGCCACCGACACCTTTGCGTTGCAAAGGGGAAGGGTTCCAATGTGATCACTTTTCCATCCAATCACATGCTTGGCAACATTCCGGAAAATGTATCCGAATGACGAATGCGTGACCAATCCAAGGGAGAACCAATGAGATGGGTTCATTCAAAAAGAATTCAACTCTGATTCGCTGGTTCGTCCCTCGATATCAAACCTCCACCAATCAGAGGCGACATTGAAGAAGCGTAGAAGAGAGGCAGCCGTTCTCGAAGTGCAAAGAACCCACAACGTCCGTTTTGCATGTGCCACATCATTTTCAGTTTTGCTTCGGCGGTGTCAAGCGTCTCGATGGGTCGTTGAACCGATGTCGGCACGCCGGCGCCTCGATTTAGTGTTTTGTCCACTGCTGTTCAGTAATACGTGGGCGACCTCTGAATGCGCCGTTGCTGCCATGAATCAAACCAACTTCGCGAGCGATCGTTGTTTTGACCGCATGTGGGCGACAACACTACGTAGATTCGACCCGCAAACAAGCGTTAAGGCTGACTGAAATGAAATACGGACAAGTGTATGATCAAGAAGCCTCAATCTAAGCTCTTCGACGCTACATATGGGCGTGTTCATCCACTGGTTGCTACCATCAAAAATGAAGTACTTTCAAGTAAAAGCTCTAGACAAATTTCCGGGGGTTGCGATGAGATGCCACTGACAAGATGCCATTTTTGTTTCAGCTGTGCATCATTTCGATCTAAACCACTCGGAATCGACATCACCCTCATGTGATGCTCACTCCAGCTAAGTCATGCTTGATGCGTCGTGACACTGGCTTCATCCAACTTGGACAAAACGGAAACCCCACGGTGTAATCCTCGAAGTGAACATTTTCGGACTCCAGCGAAATGCAACAACATATTCTCGGCAATCTCAACAATTCGATCCGCTCGGAATCACAAAACCTTGGGCGAATCCATAGCAAAATTCGACTCCATCAAGCTACACATGCTACCTTCACAGAGAAGTCGTACAAATGTCCTGCCCCATACAGCCGACGCCTTGATAACTAGTCCTATGCGACAACATGCAAGCGACATGACTAAACACTTCATGTAA